ATTCCTCAAAATAATAATTTTAATTAAATATATTAGACAATTGTACGCAACTGATACTGAAATATATTAAATATTATTGACAGTTCAGCGGGTGGCAAAAGTGTATAAAGTGTTGCCGGTTTTTTAGAGTAGAAATTTTGTTTATGTTTTGATTTCTTACACAATTTGATCATAATATAATATATATTAATAAATTTTATTTATAAATGCATTTTAAATTTAGATTAATAGCTTTAAAAACTAATTATTGTTTGTGTATTGTGATTGCAATATGCCAAAACAACTAGTAGAAAGCTGATAAGCTTTCATATAAGATAGATTATTTTGAACAAGAAATAATGGCGGGACGTTTAAGCCCTAAAAGAGGTAAGTTTAAAATTTAGAATATATAATTTTGTATTAAAATGTTTTCATATGTATTTTAATGTGTTCCAGTAGTTTTAAAACTAAGTGTATATACAGTTAATATAATAGTTTGACAAATACATAGTTGACATTTTAAAAATTCCTAACTTATTAACTATTCTGATGTTTTGGCAACGCTCTGGGGTTCATGGGGGCTCTGGGGCTTTCTGGGGCTCAATGACGTGCAAGCTTTTTTATCTGAAAAATGCTATACATGAGTTACGTGATAACAATTCATACAAGTCAAATTGAAGGGCTTGGTGCAAAAACCGGCTAAAGACTATTTTTTTTCCAAAAATGAGATTTTCGCTTATTTTGACTCAAATAATATAATATCCGAATCGTTTGCTGCATGAGCCGTCCACGTATAATGTATAGTTGGTTGTCTATCTTTAGTGACGTATTCTTGTGCCAAGCGGCTTGTAATTTTATTGAGAAAATCGATCCCATTGATCGCAAAAAGCGGATAGGTGCTACACATGACCGGTTTTTGCCCCCAACAGGTAGTGAGAGCTAACCCTACTTTTGTATGGTGTTGATGCGAATATGAAACTTGTTAAAGATGAGTAGTTTTAAGAGTGTTTTTTGCAGCGAAAGTGATTCTTTTGGTGATAATAGTGATGATGATACTGATTATGTATTCGAAACTGATACTGGCCGGAATAATGCAGGAAGTAAGTATTTTGGTTCTTTTTTGGATTTAGTTATTTATCTAAAGTTGTTTAATGGTTTTTACAGAAGTAGAACCAGCTACTCCTAGTTGTTCAGGAATCACAAGCAACAGACGTGAGTTCCAAAACAAGCATATTACTGCAGGAAGCGATTCCCCCAGCAGCGAAAATAACGAAGGTACGAATCATGTCTTTTTTAACCGTTCATAACTTCTAAACGGCTTAACAGAATTTCTTGAATCAGGACTAATAATAGGTAGATATTTTACACTTTTCGACTAAATCTTTCAAATTAAAAAAAAAACTAAAGTAAAATCGGTTATCTGTTTAGGAGCTACGATGACACAGACAGATACACACTGCACACTTACACACATTAAAATAAATTATAAGCCCACTCCGTTTTACATCGGGGGTTAAAAAAAAAACAAAAACAGAAACAAACTTAATAATTTTACTGGTACACTTTTAGACGTATTTTTGGGTTTTACCTTGCTCTCTGTATATTTTGTTATTTTTTTTAGATGATACCAAAACGATGAATCCATAAGGTCAAAAAACGAAAGCGTTTACCTTCAGGATGGGAACGAAACAGGTATAAGCTGGCAAGGAATAGTGGTCAGCAGTACATCACCACGAAGGGAATAGTTATTCCTTAGAAAAGGCAGGGACCTAGATGCACATGTAAGAATGAGTGTTTTGATAACTTTACAGAGCTGAAAAAAGTTGAAATTTTTACAAAATTTTCTACAATGGGGGATAAAAACATTCAGGATAGTTATTTAGGTGCGCTTTTGGATGTGAAAAAAGTATCTAGGATATTCGGTAGCTACCATTACCGAAAGCAAACAATTTTCATATACCTAAGTAACATATGAAAGTAGGAACAAAAAGTTTTTTAGTTTGTCGCACTGCATTTTGTAATATGCACGCTATTATTAAAGTCGTATTCAAAGAATTTTAAATTTTCGAGCTACTGGAAACCTACCTGACAAAGATGGAAGGGGAAAGCATTATAATCAGCCTAATAAAATACCAGATAAGATAGTCGCTACTCTCAATGAGCACATTAAAAGCTTTCCTTCACGCAAGTCCCATTATTCTCGTAACATATAATAAAACAGATACCTTCCAGCCGATCTTAACGTAAAAAGAATGCATGAACTTTACTTGCAGAAATACGAGTCAGAACAATACACTTTGTTAATGAAGCACGAAAAAATTAATCCTAAAATAACCTATGATTTCTGTTACAGATATTTTACCGAAAATTTTAACCTGTCTTTTGGATGTCCAAGAACTGACACGTGTTCAACTTGAGATGCATTTAAAGTTCAGATAGAGTCTGCCTCAACTGAGGAAGAAAAGGTTGGAAGTTCAAAAACAACTTCACTTGCGAAAAGCGCAAGCCTTTTATCATGATCTTAAAGAAAACACAGAGCTGACATAAGTTGACCCATCTATTGAAACAATCTGTTTTGACTACCATAATCTACCTATACCTGTCTTAACAACAGTGAGATATTTTATGCACGGCAGCTGTAGGCCTCTTTGGTGTCGGTGTGTAGATTGTTTGTGACTTTTTAGGTAAAGTTTCTGTTCAGAATCTATTTTCTCGATAATTGTGTAGTCATTGGAGATGTTAGGGATTTCGAAGGAGGGGAATCGCAAGAATTTATAGTTTGCCCTATGCGAGATTCTACGTTCGGTACTTAACGAATACTTGCTGTCTCCGATTCGAAACTCTAGACGTAACGTAACTACGGACAGATATTACACTTCTGTTGAGCTTGCAGAATATCTATACAAAGACTTCGGTCTGACTTTAGTTGGTACTCTCCAACAAAAAAGCAGGCATAACCGGAAGTACTTAAGAAAACGAAAGGAAGACTATTGTATTCAAATATGTTTGCATCTTCAGATCCAAAGTACGAAAACTCACCAATTATTCTTCTTTCTTATGTAACTCGGCCAGAAGCCTACAAAGATACTCCTCTTTCTATTAACCCAGCATGCTGATGATGTTGTAAGCGACGAATACAAAAATAAATCAGATATCAATCTTATAATGTAGATTTTTAGCTGTGGTAGCTTGGAAATAAAACAATAATTAACTTAACATTAATAAAACATAAATATTATTTTTATAAGAAAACCCCAACTAAAAAAATTATTCTAAATAATTAAATTAAAATTAAAGGAATTTAAAAAAAATCTCTAAACAATTAAATGTTCGAACAAACCACCACTTTGCGCTAAACAAAATTCAAATCTATCAACTAAAGCAAGTCTTTGTATTCAGCTGATTTACCTGTACCCGACTATAGTTGACCAATTTCTTCTTGCAATTCTGCTAAATTGGTTACTCGTTCGAGTTCATGCCGGTATAATTTTGATTTTAGCATTCGCCAGAAATAAAAATCCGAAGGTGCCAAATCTTTTGATATAGGGAGCCATTTTATTGTTCCTCGTGTAGAAATTAATCGACCAGAGAATGTTTGTTCCAAATAATTTGTAACTTCGATGGCATTATGTGCTTGGCAACCATCTTGTTGAAACCAGACATCGACGAAGTCGATCGCAAGGTTTCGCACTGCCGGAATAATCTGATTGCGTAATAAATCTAGATACATTCCATTCAAATTTCCCATAATAAAAAAATGGACCAATTATATCATAGTTATAAAGTCTTTTTACATTTATTATCTTTGTATATTGTGTTTTCACAGCAATACTAAAATAGTTTATTTATCCAGACCAATAGCGGACGACAGATGGATTATGGCGTTTAGGATTGTAAATGATTCATCGGAAAACAAAACATTTTTTAAAAAGTAATTGTTCGCATTCGATTTCTCCATTATAGTTTTACAAAATTCCATTAGTTTTAAATGATCGTCTAGAAAAAGTTTTTGGGTGGTTTGCACTTTATAGCAATTGCATCTATTTTGTTTAAAATATTCCTTCCTTAGTTCTCTCCTTTAATAGATCAACTTTATCCGCAATTTGTCTAGTCAAACAAGGCGTTTCTTTAGCAGTTAAACAAACTTGCATTTCGCAAAATTCGTGTTCAATAGAGATTTATTTCGATCATGGTTGATCCGTTGGATGACATTTCATATAGGTATTTATGCAACAGAAATTTTTACAGTTTTAATAATTGATCGAACTGTTTTCTCTGTAATAAATAACTGTATTTGTAAGTTTTACAATAGAATGGTTTCCATAATAACATTTCACAATTTGAATAGTTTCTTATCGAAAATATACGCTTAGCATATTAATTATTTGTTTTCAACTTTTTACCACCACAGCTAAACATCAAATAGATTTGATAGACTATAAACCTGCTGTACCGATAAGCATTGCTTATTCTTTTGTGGGAAATCATGCACTCGCAGAGCGGGTATACCGTTTATACTATATGTCTGTCTACTGAAGTGCTCACGCTGTTATCACATATTTCTCAATTAAGTTTTCCTTGTTAACTAATCAAGCAATGATATAATCGTTTAAAAAATAACCGTTACATGATTACTTCGTTGTTTTGTTGGGCAATATTAATTTTCATTCTACAATAAACTGTAGTGGATTTAAATATTATGTTATACGCATGTATCCGAATACCATTTTAGAAGGAATTATGTAACAGAAATTTTGCACCACCATACTCTTCCAACTGTTTACTGTGTCTGCGAACCAGTAACAGCTATTTCGTGTTTTGTAACGATATTTCCGTGATGCTCGCCCCATCATTTTACTATTTCAAATGAGATAGCACCTGCTCTGTAAAAGTAACACAACCGATTCCAATGCCATCAACTCGACCTGTAACAAGAACACAAAAACAAAATTCTAAATATACAAAAAAAACGTCAAAATAAAACTTCAAAAAATAATTTCTATTTTTTATTTAATTTATTTATATGACTCCACTACAAGACGTACATTGAAAAAAGAAGAAAATAAAAAAACACTAGATTTTTATTTACACTCTTCACACCGTATTTAAAAAATGAATGCCTACATATTTATATATATACACATTGCGAATTGAACAGAATAAAGTTAAAAATATCGTTTTTCTTTCTAATATGACATCAATGTAACTGTAATTCTAGGATGACTGTTTCAATATATGTACAACGCAAAGGAACAGATTGAGCAATAGGTCTACTCGAAAGTTTCACTTACAATGAATTACTATTAACGATAGATCAAGAATGTAATGTTCCTATTGTTACAAATTGTATGTTAGAAATATTATTTTGACGAATGTAAAAAACAATTATACTCTACTCACTCAACTTAGTCCCAACTGCCCAGTAAATTTATCAATTACTGTACTTGGTCAAATTTTAATTTCAACTGTAAGATACATATCCAAGCAGGAGTACATAGCCAGTATTAATTTTAAAAAAGTAAAACATTATTCACATACAGTTTATCAAAAAACAAAATTTAATCAATTATTAAAGAAATTAAACAAATGTAAGGTATTTTTAAAATTTTATAGTTATTCATAGACTAGTATTTACAAATGACAAGTTTTTAAACATCAATGAATATACACTTCCATTATTCATGGTTATTCTTCTGTTTTCAATTAAAGAAGTCTGCAATAATAAGTTTATTTTAGTTATTAATAATGAGTGGTAGGATTTTTTATATTGTATGTTTCCGGCAATCGTCGTCAAAATATTCTCAAACTCACTGAATCGGCAATCGGAATAATAGACAGGGTGTACCCTGTCTATTATTAGCTACGTAGGTTTGTTTATTAAAACAGAGGTGTTTATAAGAAGAATGACAAGAATTCTGATTAAAAAGAGACAAAAACTTTCTGTGAAATGTCTAAAAATTATTATAATTTCCAGTAAATTTCTTAAAATTTAGCATGCTCGCTGTACAGGCCTAGCAGCTCCGAAGATGGAGGTCCCGATCACTGTTACCGCCAGATGCGAAATTGGTGCTGTGATCTGCAAAACGGATTTCACCTATTGACATTCATCTTCAATTAATCGAAGCTTATGGGAAAAAAGTGCATATCTGTTCAAAATGTTCAAATTGTGTAGAGAATTCAGTAAATGCCGAACGAAAATTTACGATGAAGATCGGAGCGGAAGGTTTTTATTTTCAAATTGCCTTCAAATTAAAAGAATACCGCTTGAAGAACTGAGGTTCACCATTAACGACCTTGCTTTTCGTATTCCTGAGACTTTCCACACCACAATTCATAAGATATTAACAGGAAAATTAGGCTATCACAAAATGTGTGCGCAGTGGGTACCGCAACTGCTTACAGAAAATCACAAACAGAAATGTGTCGAGTGTGTCTAGCAGTTATTGCGACAATGTGAAGGCAACAAGGAATAAATTTTGGAGTCCATTGTCACAGGCGACGAAACATGAGTGTTTCACTTTATACCTGAAACCAAGCAGCTTTAATGATGTCACTCAATATAGCCGAAGCGAAAACTATAAACAAATGTAGCCTGTTAGGAAAGTCATGGCAATCACCGTCTTTTGGGACAGAAAGGGTCTACTGTTAATCGAATTTTTGTGACAGATATTGAGAGACATTTAAAAGACAGAGACGTGCGATCCAGAACCTAATGGTGTGAGGCTTCTCTATGAAAACTTTCGACCTCGTGTCACATCAAACTGAACAATATTCCCAAAGTTACAGAACACTTGGGTGGCTTACGCTGCAGTACCGATGATTAAGTTAAGGAAGAGGCTACTCGTTTCTTCAAAGGACTGGCGGTAGAATTATATAACATGGGGATAGAAAATTTAGAGATCGTCTTCAAAAAAAGAGAAATGGCGATTATGTAGAAAAATAGCGTAAGTTTTAAAATAATGTTTACGACTAAGAACAAAAATAAAGCGGTTTATTTTTAAAATTCATGGGAACCTTATTTTACGAATGACCGTCACATATACTTGCATGCTGCTCTTGCATAACGTCGAGAGGTTAAGCTTATTTATTAACTAATAAAAAAAATCAATAAATTCAATTTAAAATGTTTTATATGCAAATTAAGTCAACCTCTTTCCGTATTTTAAAGAGAAAAGTAATAAACAAGAAATCTGTGGACATAAAAATACGTTATATGTTACTTCAAAAGAGTTGATATTATATGATTATATAATTGATATGCTCACTCTAGTATTACAGTTACATTTCTACAAAGAGAGAACGCTTCTTGGATTATTCAGGTATAAAATTACCTAACATTATTTTCTGACGAAAAGTATACACGGCTAATACTAGATATTTTTCTACATATTCATCGAACGAGTCACTAACACATTTTTATCCAGATACATTCATTTAACCTACATAATTTTGATTTCATCTTTTTAATTTATGACGTATCTACGTTCGTAATATGGCAACGTATTAACGCCAAGTCGAGAAATATTTTTTCCGATAACCTATAATGTAAATACATAAAATGGTTTAGTGACGCAGTCTTAGAAGCGCCCTCAAAACACATTCGAGCCTCAAAAACATTCAGACTTTGAATAAAAAGAAACACCCCAATGACTGAGTTTTTGTGCTTAAAATATCCTAGTTAATAATAATTAGCCCATGATATATTTGAAAAAAACCGTAAGAAACTTAGATGGATTGGTTGCTCATGTTATGATACGATAGAGGAAGAAATTTTGAAGAATATAACATGTACTAATAGACAATAATACTCAGTACTCTAAATACTAATTAAAGTACCCTATAAGTAATAATTTTTGGCCTATAAAAAACGTTCGAGGTCGGTGTCAGAAATAATAAACTATACAGACATTAAGTTGCAACCTTAATGATCACGAGGAACTGATTTACATAGTAAATCAACTGAATAATACTGTAGGAATCAGAAGATAAGAAAGAGAGAGAGAGAGAGATAATAAACTATACGGTGGAACTGATGAATGTGATTTGTGAACTACATGTGCAAATTAGTCAGCAGACCCAATATGAAAAAAAAAAAAACAGTTTCAATTAATCTTGCATGCTCTTAAATTCTCTTTTTGATTTGACATGACCCGGTACTTGTCGGAATATTCTCGGTACCCGGAAAAAGGGGATAATATATGGCACCACAAGTACGAAGAGTGCATCGTTGTGAACGAGTTGCAGATGTTTTTTCATTAAGTATTTTATTAAAAAAGATCTTTATTTTGTAGAAAAACTGTTTACTGCTGTTAAAACTGTTTTAAAATTTGTTTTAATGAATAGATATGTTAGGAATATGTTTTTAATTACAATGTAATATAAGAGATCCATTTGGACAATTTTTTTCTTCAGACACTACTGCTCGAATTGTTAGAAACTCGAATTATATCAAGATAGGTTATGTTACTATTTGTATGACAATCGACAGAATGACATTAAATGATACGTCATTCAAAATTTTCTAAGATTTGAACTCTTCTAGTAAGAATGTTTGATTATTAATTTAAAAAATAACACTTTAGGCTGACATATACTGGAACTGAAAAAAAAAACAACCTATCTAATCATAACATGAATGATATACGCGAACAGTACACTGTGTTCCCATATAAAAATTACACTACAATGTCTTCATTCCTTAGGTTGAATATTTACCAATTTGTGCATATTCAATGATACAGCCATTGCAGTCTTTTTATTCCAAATATATTGTCGTGACACTAAGAAAAATACGAATTGTATCAATTTTGTATTGACGAAACAAATATATTTAGTTGTCTTTGGTATTTATTACTAACATATTCTATAAATTCTCAAAAATTTAAATAAAAAACGAAAAGAAACCATTATCAGGCATCAATCTTCAATCCCTCGCTCAGGCTAGAAATTGCTGCAGAAATACTACCTATTTACACGATTGTCTAAAAGAAGATAATCAAATTGTTTAAAAGTTTATTATGTCTAAGGAACGACAGTTTGACAAATGACTTGTGGCGCCACACACGACAATTTGAAATGGGCAATGTTAGAAATGCTATCAATATGAAATTGTTTACTTTCACTTAGTGTCTTGCCTTTAAATCCGATATTTGTAAAATTGCAAACGTACAGTTCGAATTCATTAAATCAAACCAGAGATTATCCAAGAAGCTATCGAGATCTAAAAAAAGTCTAGATATAATGAAATCAAAAATGAGGATGGTAAGAAGAACTGATTATCTTTAAACGTGTCTAAATCACTAAAGCTCACTTAAGGTTTTGTATCGTATTTATGAATTCATGATCAACAGTCATATATTACCACTGGGATTAAATTGACTATCGATTAGATTACACTGTAAAGGAAATATTTTGATATTACCGATAAAGATTTACTATGCACGATGTTCCCTTTTCCCCACATTGATCATATTTTGCTTAGTGCCGCTGTCAGACCGTTCCCTGATTGGGTAGTTCCATAACAATACTTGTCAATCGTTAAGCCTACTAAATTTTTCAGTAATTATTATCTAAATATTGTTATCATTAAAATTGGGGAATACATGATTTTTCTTTATCTCAAGCGTAATTATTTAACAATCATAAGTTTTTAATGACAAATATACACCACAAAATCACTTTAGAAGTGTTCAAAGAACGTTGTATCACAGTTCACCAAATACCCACAAAACTGTACAACATCTTGACGACTAGGCACAATAAGCTGTATAATATAACGTTTTACTGTACATATTAAAAAAATATCACTTAAACTTATTCCGAAGTAAACATAATATCAGAAATTCCAGAATTAAGAAGAAAACGAAGTGATCTGGTATCTCATCCACGTAATGATCATCGGTATATATTAATGCACCTAACTTTAACATATATACTCGCTGCAACAATTAAATTAACTATACATTATGCATAAGTACCAGATCTTTCCATTTTCTTCAAGTACAACCCTCAAAATTGGGCAACGAAAAGAACTTTCAGACCCACCTGAACACCCAAAATAAATAGGTTAAATTAATAATAATATTCATTCTTTCTGTCAGTTTATATCGTTAGAATACAGCTTACCCATCGCCATGTCTAATGGTTCAAGCACTAACCAATCCACGAAAATTATAAAACAAAAATAAATTACGAATTGTTCTCACTCTCCCTTTGCGCGTTTTCAGCCTCCATTTTTTGCCTGGCGGCCGCAGCGGCTGCAGATCGACTAGCACTAGAACGTAGATTCTTCTTCGCGATCACGGATTCGTGATCGATCGGTAGTTCCCCCGATTTACGTTTGCCTCTTGTTCGCTTTGCGTTCTTCTTCGGAGGCGTTTCGGACTCCTCTGAGGTTTCAGGTTTGGACTGATCTTCCTTGCGTGAAGTGTCAGCAGTCTCAGGGGGAACCTAAAACAATTTATTTAGATTTTAAAAGAACAACAAATAGATTAAGAAAAAACTTTATTCCTCTTCAACAAATATAAATTTACTCCATGCAAATGATACTAATAAGGACAAACATAATAATGTGTGGAAAATAAATACAGACAGCTTAAAAAAACGGGATTTAGTCTATACAAAAAGTAAGTCAACGATTTTTCTTGTGAAGGAATGTAAGTTTTCAGGCCAGGTGTTTTGTAATGATATGAAACTAGTAATTCTTCAAGCTGCTTTTACACATTGGTCGTTCAAAACGGATTTGAACTAAATTTGGAAAAGTTAAATGATCGGAAGAGATGGAAAAGACGTTCTAAACCGATTTATATATATATATATATATATATATATATATATATATATATATAAAAATCGGTTTAAAACGTCTTTCGACGTTGTCCGATACCTAAACACCATCTCTTCCTATCTTCGCAGTCGTTTGTTGTTAAATTTCTTTCGCTCATGGACTTGTTTACGCCGTGTTGCCATTCTACTACTTTTTGGGGAGTCTTGTTGCTGGCATCCGTTGAACATGCCCATACCACCTTAATTGTTTCTTCTCTATATCTTGAGTTATATTTCCTTCTATTCCCATACGCTGTTTTATTACATCATTTCTGATTCGGTCTCGTCTGGAAATACCTAAAGATCTTCTCATTGCATCCATCTTTCTTCTTCTTTGGGTGCCGTCTTCAATGAAGGTTGGCGATAACCTCAGCAAAATCATTTCTGTCCCTGGCTTTTCTTATTAAAGATTGAGAATCCAAACCAGTCCACTCACGAATGTTCTTCAACCAGGACGCCTGCCGTCTACCAGGACCACGCTTTCCTTCTACCTTCCCCTCTATAAGAAGCTGCAGTAGCTGGTATTTCTCATTTCTGTATATGTGTCCCAAATATGAGGTTTTCCGTGTTTTCATTATTTTTAAGAGTTCTCTGTCGGTACCCATCTTGTGTAGGACCTGCTCGTTGCTCATATGCGCTGTCCAGGGGACTTTCAGCATCCTTCGAAATAACCACATTTCAAAACTTTCCAAACGCCTTAGTGAGTTGATTTTGAAGGTCCAGGCCTCCATTCCATATAGTAAGGTGCTGTAAACGTAACATTTCAGCATTCGGTATCGGATTTTGAGATTGAGTGTTTGGGACGTAAACATTTGTTTCATTTTTAAAAGACATTTCTTGCTTGTTCAATTCGCGATTTTATTTCTATGTCTGGATCTATATCTTTCGTTATCCAGCACCCTAGATATCGAAATTTCTCGACATTTTCGATAATGTTACCATTCACGTTTAAAGCCATGGGTGGATGGATGGATGTTTTGGAGACAATCATTGTTTTTGTTTTCTTGACGTTAATGCTGAGGCCGTATTGTTCTCCGATCGATCCTCGATCGATCGATCATCCTCGATCGATCATCCATCTTTACTGCTTCTATTCGCTTTTTGTTCTTTTCACTAATTCTCCATGTTTCAGCGCCATAAAGAAGAGTAGTTTTAATCATGGTCTCATATATATTAAATTTTCTTCCTTTTGTTATCTCTTTACTCCACACTATACCATTGAGACATCTTAAGACCTTCTTTGCTTGAGTGATTCGTTTTTCTATTTCCCGTGTATCAGTTCCTGTATTGTCAAAGGCAACACCCAAGTAGTCATAGCTCTGACAGCAGGAAATATGTTGTCCGTTTTCGAGGTCTATGTTATCTGACTCGTTTCCAATACAAAGATATTTGGTTTTTGTTGTATTGACATTCATTCCCTAGTCGTTATATTTTTCTAACAGTTTTCTAAGCATGTGCTGCATGTCTTCCTGTCGGTCGCTAGTACTACCTGGTCATCAGCAAACTGGAGTATATATATATATATATATATATATATTATATATATATATATATATATATATATATATATATATATATATATACATTCATTGCTAAGTTCTATACCCATCCTATGCACCTTTCTTTTCCATCTTTCCAATGCTGCTGTAACATATATCTTGAATAAGGTTGGTGAGATACAGCATCCCTGTCGCAAGCCTTTTGTAACCAGGAATTCTTCCGTTAGATATTTTCCTATTTTTATCTGTGCCTTTGAGTCTCTATATAGTTCTTGTACAGCATTTATCAATGTGTGGAACGCCGATTGATTCATTTTCCCTGATAGGACTATCCAATGGACTATCCAATGGAGTTCCTACCCGTTACCCAAAAAAGTTAAATGATAATGACAAAATATGGTTTAAAAATAAAATGAGATGAAATGAGCTGACATGTTCTTACCTACCTTATGCCCAGTCGGTTCAGATTCAGCTTCCTGTTGGAGATCCACAGCTCTAGGCTCTGGTGATTTCTCGACATGTTCCCCTTTCTGGGGACTTGCCGAAGCTTTCACAACCGTTGAAGGCGTTAGTAGCGCCTCGATGTCCACTCCTTCCTGGTCGTTTGTTATCGCCGGAGGAACAGGAACGGGAACAGGAGGTGGAGCTATAGACGATGGTACTACCATCGTGGGCGTGACACTGGGCGTCGACATGGGTGTTGGCGTTGTGGTTGGAGTCGGTGGAGTCGGAAGAGGCGTAGGAGTTCGCGACTTATCAGTTGCTTCTCTGGCCTTCTTGAGTGGAGGATGCTCTGGCTGTTGCAAAAAAGAAACTTGGTATACTGTACACTATTGATAACGTAAGGAGAATTTTAAGATGGGCATGATAGTATCAAATAAAATAAATCGGTACAAGCGCTCCAAAGTAGTCATAATAGCAGCACACACATTGAAGATAAATGAAACATTTTATTAAGACCTTCATTATACCCCAAAAGAAACGGGCCTTTGCCACTAAAAGCTACTCTGACTAAAGTATAGTTATCAAATATTTCTAGTATAATAATCTGTAATTTATAATAGTATAGGAAAAATATTACTTAATGATATATACATTGAACATATAGTTGAAATATTAAAAAATAAGCATTAAAAGCCTTACAAAAATGTTTTGGAAATATAAAAGTATAAAATAAGATATATAATATATAAATTTCTATAAAACTATAAAATACTAACCTCTACTTCTGGTACACTCAGCTTTTCCACAATTTCTGATTCTCTGTGTCTCTTGGCAGAAGCCACCGACGTAGATGTGAGAAACTTATTCTGTTCTTCACTCATAGCTTTCGCCATCAGCTCGATATTCGTCCGGCTGAAGTGCTCTAATGCCTCCTTCATCTGCTGTTCGTGAGATTTCTTGGTGGTCTGACTCACTTGAGCTTCTAAAAGCTTCGTAAAGTCAGATAAGTTTGGCAACGCAGTCTTTTTCTCTTTTATGGAACTCGAGAAGTCAGTTGGTAACATTCCCCGCAAGTTTTCCAATGCTTTTCGTTTGTCTTCTTTCTTGTCGGTTTTCGTTTGCTTAAGGGTGATATCTAGATTGTTGGCTGCTTTAGAAATGCTTTCCAGGATTTGAGTATCGGGTGGCAAGAGTAGCTGTTGAAGGTGTGCGTCTCTACTTGACGATCTTGGCCTGCTTTGACCGCTTTGGCCTGAAATAAATTTGTTATGAACCAGAGGTGTATATGTAACTTAACCTGTTGTATTACAGAAACACTTACCTGAAGATGTGGTAGTTGTTGCAGAGGGTGGTCTTGAAGTCGGCATTTTATTCAACTTCGAGCTACTGTTGGGCGAAGCTGCGGGGTTCAAATTGCCATTCAACAATCCACATTGTTGTGCTATCGTGTCATAGGCAGCGGACATGCCCGGTTGTAACGTGAATGGGTTTAGGCCGCCTAAGCCGAGAGGCGTATACAGTAAGCTTGGATTCGGAAAGAAAAATGGGAATGGATTGGTAGTAGTAGCGGCTAGATTAGAGGTAGATTGAGATTTACTAGAGTTATGAGCGTCTTGGGGTTTACTAGATTTACTAGAACTGCTGCTTGACTTTGACATGTTCTTTGACGTTTCTGGAGCAGCGGCTGCTGCTGCCAGAGCCGATGGGTCCATGGCTCCTAAGCCAGGCAGGCCCAAGCCTGCTAAGTTTGCGAATAGATTCATATTAGTGAGATTTCCCAAACCTCCCATCGAGCCTAATGCTCCCATATTGGGCAATCCGGCAAATGGCATCAGTAACGGATTTGTCTTGGGATCAAATTGTCCTAGACCAGACAGACCTGTTAATAAATTGGAGTTAAGGCCTGCTAAAGTTGAAGTACCCAACGATGGGAACGACATGCTAGACGGTAACGATGTTGTTAAGTTGGCAGAACTGACGCTGGAAGTGGATCCAGTAGGACTTGATAACAAAGGTGGACGTCCAGGTACGTTGCTTTTAGATTTACTGCCACTACCGCTGCTACTGCTATTGCTTGGTTGACCTAAAAATAATCGGTACACTGTATTTTCTACATTTCCCTAAATTATAAAATAATTTATCAGACAAAGACATACCTGGTAACCTTTTTTGTAGATCGTGACTCAAATTACCACGTTCTTTCACCAACTCGGACCATTTCGGATCTATATCATACATAGGATTCTCCATAAGCCATTGCCCTAATCTCTTTAAAGTTGGAGCCTTTGGTCCTGTTAACTTTTTCCCGGTCACTCGATGAATAACTGCCACATTCTCGTCACCTGTCAATTTCTTCCAGTCCAAGAGTGTAGGATCTACTCTTGGTCTTCTTCTTCTAGCAGCTAAATAGTCGGCGGATAACGGTTGTTCCGCCAAAGCAGCGTTTTGTTCTGCCAACCATTTGTTGACCTTGGCTTCGTGGGAATAAGAATTAACTTTTGAACTGAAGTCAGATACTTTACCTGTTGAGAGAGAAGAATATTTTGATAATTAAGTTTTAAAAACTAATTTTACATAAATATCTATTAACACTGATCTTGCTATTATAATGTTGTACAATGTGTTGCCAGATGGCTATATTTTGACTTAGTGTGTTACAAAATTAAGCGAATAGTTTGTTGATAAATTGCTGGAAAATTTTACGGAAAAAGATTTACCAAGGTAAAACTTACTACGACCTAAACTTAAAACTTAAGATTATTCCTTAAAATTACATAATATGGACAAACTTCGGAAAATTTTCAGCTACATCATGTAAAACACCCACCAAAACAGATTAGATGGCATTGATTTTTGTAGAAAAAATATCTACCTAAAATCGAGATACAAGTTAAAATCTTCACACAAAAGTTATTTGTGCAATAACAATATAGCAATACTGCCAATGACAAAAATCATTGTCGAAATCGACAACAAACATAACGAAAAAAGTATGCAAAATGTTCGTATTTTGAATTTTCAGGAAAGTTCTTGACTAATACACGAAGACTTATTTTGTGTGTAGGCTTCTGCTGCCGGTGTGTCGTAATAGTACCTAATATTCAGGGTCTATAGGCTGTAGCCTGTAATTTGTTTCATCCTGACATTTCTTCTACAACTGCGGAAAACATTATCAAACAAGAGGCAGGATCCGGCGTACAATCTCATGTCATCTATCGTAGCGACATATTAGATCTACGCCTGTTCCCGCGTCGCCCTTGATAATGTCTGTCGCAGTTGTAGACGAATTGTCAGGAAAAAACATAATCCAAACCACGGCCTAAAAACCCCGAATGTTACATTATTTATTTTGGCGGAAATAATTTTTTTTCATCTGAAAAATTTCGTCACGTTAAATCTTTTCCTTGTGTTTTCTTAAGGCCAGTTTCACAATCAGTTGTTAACCGATGCCGTTTCACATTCACAGATTCGGTTATGGTCACTTAACCTTAGGTTTGTTTTTATTTTTCTACATGTTGGTAGGAAATTATGGGCAATAATCAGATTTTTATGGAATATTGTCAGTAAATATTATGAACATTGACCAGTATAGATGAGTTATGACACATTTGTCACGTTAGATCCACAAATCACCTACACTCTGTGGTTAGATCGAAAACAGTATACAGCATTTATATATATAAAAACATTTTCATAGTCTAGTTCTTCAAAATGATTTGTTCTGTGCCTAATGATTCTTGGTCTGCCAGCTTCGTCATCACTGCTAAAAGCATTTACATAATATAAATCCATATCCTATTAATTAATAATTTATGTGTGTGTCTACACTCTGTCAATGTCAACAAAACGAAATTCTGGTCAAGGTCTAAACAACCGCTTTTACTTTGGGTTAAAAATTTTGTAGGTTAACCACAACCCGAGCTGTTGACCTTATATTGTGAAACCTATATTTCAGGTTAACCACTGGTTATCTCTTAACCGCAAGATAACTTTACCTTGCGAAACCGGCCGTTAGGCATCGATTGGCGATGTTATCCCCTCTTTTGAGCATACTTGTTATTTTTGTAATATTGTTTCCGTTTTTCTATCTGCTTTATATTATATGGTCACTTTCTTGATTGCTCTTTCCATTCTGTATCTGCCTCTCCCAGCTGTAGAATTTGTTTATCATTCATTAAATTTTCAAAGCAATTGCTCAATAAAACTATTACCACATTTTAGCTAACTCAAATATTGTAAAAACTTTGCAAACTATAATAAAATAATAAAAAAAAATGTGTAGTTACTTTATGGGCAAAGATGCAAATCTACATTAATAAGCAATTTACACAAATCTTTCTACTCATTCTCATACTTGTGTTAATTAGCAAGACAAGATTAAATTACCGATATCGGCTATCATCGCTTCATAACTCTTCCTCTGCTGTTGTTGCTGTTGTTCTTGTTGTTTCTTCAACAACATATTTTGTTCTTCAGCTTGAGCCAAAAACGAGGAGAAGGAGTCTTTGCCTGCTGTTGATTTTAAAATGATTTTAAAATTAAAATACGTGTGGTGGATGGTATATTAATATAGAATAATGGCCATACGAGTGCAAAGGGTTACTCAACTTGCAGAAATCACACATAACATAATTGGATATCGCTTAAAAGTAACGACCGTCATGTAATATAATCTTAAAATCCTAGAAATAGTTTTTTAAGTTTATTATGGAACTATGGTATAAATTTCAATAAAAAATAATTCACAGAGATAGTGGTTGATACGAATGGTAAAGGAACTCAGAGGGAAAAAATAGAAGAGATAGATAACTTATTGAAATTACACAGTATCCTGTGCGGATGAAAAGTTAAAAATTTAGCTATTTTTATATTATAGTTATATAGTTATTATATTTATAATGTACAACGAAGAACTGTAAGTACATAAATAGTTCATAATATACTTGAGAAATAATAATTGTAAACAAAAAAACACCAATTAGTGGAACCATAAACTGATAGAATCTCAACAATTGTAGTGTAGAGTGGGTCAATTCCAATAAGAATAATATAATGACATATCCTTACCAATATCAGCAATCATCGCCTCGTAACTCTTCCGTTGTTGCTGTTGCTGTTGTTGCTGCTGTTTCTTCAACAGCAAATTCTGTTGCTCGGCTTGTGCCAGGAACGTGGAGAAACTGTCTTTTCCTGCAGTAGATAGAGACGGCAAAATGTTCTGCGAGAGAGAGCTGCTGCGACTAGATGGAGCTGTAGAAGGAACAGAAGTTACGGTAATGGTGAACGGTTTTTGTGAGGGATTATGTGTGGTGCTTACGGGAGCTGAGGTAGGAGTTACGGTTACGCTCGGCGCAACCGGTTGCTTTTTGGGTGGTTCGGGAGTGAATAGGGATTGTTCCTTGGCGGCCGAAAGGCCCAGGACGATTTCGTCAAGTTTTTTGCGTTTCTTTTCCTTGCCGATCAGTGGTTCTGGTTCAGGCTGGAACAACCAACAGACATTATATTCGGTTCAAAAACGTACCAGATAGGTTGGTTTACATTTTAAACAACATGCAAATCTGTATATAGCAGTTGTACTGTCAAAAAATTGCAACCTTCAGTAGTCTGTCAGTGGGGTATTATTTTAATATTGTTCTGAAGCTATTTTCTTGTGGCATTGTAAATTAATTACTATTTAACTGGGAATAAGCCACAATTAAAGATAAAAATACGTTTATTTACGTTTCAATTTCCACTTTGGAAATCGTTCTCAAAATACAAACAGTAAATTAAACAAATTTTTATTAAATTTAATTTTATTTAATTCCCAGTTAAATAGTAATTAGTGTATTATTTTGTTAGGTTAGTCTTTTTATTTTATATTAAACTTGTTTTTAATTAAACTACTTACACAATTTTTCCTTTTCATCAACTTAGACAATGTATCATCCAATTTATTTCCAGCTTTCGACTGTGATGTCAACGCCGATGATTTTTTAACGGAGAAATCTTGTACTTCATTTTGCATATCCAGCGAAGAAGAGGACTTTTCAATAGGTTTAGGAATGCTGAAATAAAATATTTGTAATTTGTGGTACCTATTATATGTTGCTAGCGTATATTATGTATATTGTATATATATATATATATATATATATATATATATATATATATATATATATATATAATATATATATATAATAATACAGATTGAACGAATTTAAAAACGAATCATACAATTTAATATAACTGCATTTGAAATAGTGGACCAATATAAAACTTCGACAAAAATAAATCCATACCTGGGTATAGACATTGTATAAAATATCGTTCAACTATCTGTCTCGCAACAATGTTGTTTGCATAAAGAAAGCGATAATAGTTCAGGAAATGAAGCTCGAAAAAAGTTCAAACTTCGCAATTTTTTCGTCCTGCATGGATTGAGTTGAAATTTTAACAGAAGGTAGGTGATAGCCCAAGGATCAAAATCTATATCGAACTGAAGTGTGCTGAAGGGTTTTAGGGGTGAAAACTAACCCTAATTGTCAAAAATTATAAAATAACATACTAAACCTGAATATGGGTAAGATTTTTTTTGAATTAGTTAAATAATGATTATTTTATACTTTTGAATATAGTTCCATCACATTTCAACCCTTAAAAAGCAACCCTTGGTAGAGATTAATGTAAAAAAATTACTAATTCTAAAAAAATGATTTCGCCTTGGATCGATTTGGGTAAAAATTTGGATATAAGCTCAATTCACCCACTGATTTAAAGTTTAAGTCATGTCGACGAACCCTGATTGTTCTTAAGGATGAAAACTACCCCTAATTGTCAAAAATTATAAAATAACGTATTAAACCTGAATATGGGAAAATTTGGTTTGAATTAATTAAATAATGATAGTTTCGTGCTTTTGAATAAAGTTCCATCATATTTCAACCCTTAAAAAGCTACCCTTGTTAGAGATTAATGTAAAAAAAGTAGTAATGCGAAGAAAATGATTTCACCTTGGAACGATTTGCATAAAAATTTGGAATTAAGCTCAACTCACCCTCTCGTTTTATATTGATTTTTTAATTTTGTGTTCTTATTGTATGCCATACGATAAATAAATAAATACTACCCCTAATTTTCAAAAATTGTAAAATATTACAAATCTTAAGATGAGTGAAATTTAGTTTATATTAGTTAAATAGTAATTTTTTTATACTTTAAAATACATTTTATTTTCAACCCTTAAAAATCAATTGTTATGAGTGCTATAGGTGAAAACAATTTTTTGCCAAAATTTTGCAACTTTTCAACTTTTGAAAATCACCCTTTACAACATTGCAGTTTTTATAAACTAATTTAATAGATATAAATTGAAAAAAGTAGAATTCAATACAAAAAAATTTATCAACATAAAAAGGCACCATATATTCTTATACATTTACATAAATAGTTCAAAAAATTTACATTTATAGGTAGAACAATTATAATATTAATTTTATTATTCCTCATCAATTACATCTTCATCGTGATCTATGTCATCCTCATCTTCTTAATTATTGGTGGACTATTATTGCACCCTTCACCTGAGCACACAGAACAAGTAGAGTATAAACCAACTTTTCTGCACCCACATGAAACGCCGCATCCTTTTTTGTATTGGCAAAAAATAATTTTCAAAAGTTCATCGGGTGCAGGTTGTTTGTTCATGCGTACGGGTAATAATAAACCATCTTTGGAATACCATCCCCAGTCTGTTGCTCTGATATTTTTATTGCCAAGCCATAGACATGTGAGCAGATGTTTTATTCTGTTGTATGGGATTTCAAAATAAGAACGCTTAAAATTTCGAATGTATAACGCCCCACTACCTAATATACCGGTTTTGTAGATTATTATGCTCCGAAATGTACTGTACTATACTAATGGAATTTTCTGGAAAAAAATTAATTGGTTTTTTTAACGTATTTCCTTCATTTTTAACTATAGAGTGTTTCTTCAACAACGATTTTGTAGAGGTTTTTAAGAGCTACAAGGGTATGTGAATTAAATCTTTTTGAAACCCTTGGTTTTTAAATGGGGTGAGTTTAAAGAGCTCGAAAAAGATAGTGCTTGATCGTAAATCGATGCTTTAAACGGCTATATATTGCCAAATATTCATTGTACATCAAATCTAAATAAAGGAAAATTTTAGTCATTAAAAAAGCTACAATTAAGTACATTTTTATTTTTTTCATATATTCAGTATTTTCGGTAATATTTAAAAAAAGAAGGGTAAACAATATAAAATTGTAAATCGTTTCTCGCTTTATGCTGTACTTTTTCTAAAACTAAGCATTTTAAATGGGCCAAACTTCTTGGACGTATTAACGATACATGTACAAAGAGAATTGCAGAAGGGTGAAGATCGATTTTAATTATGTGAGTGGTTAGGGGATTGTTTTCATCGATTTTTTCGTAAAAAAATATGAGGTATTGACCTTATTTTCATCATAACTCAGTCAATTTTTGAGCTAGAGTATTTTTTTATGATAGGTCCATTTATGCTCTTTAAAAAAGGTTCTGCGAGTTTTTTTTCCAAAAATGCATCATTTTCCCGATATTTGACTTTGAATCTTTCAAATTTGGCATTTGAAGAAAAACGCTGAACATTGATAGGCCGTATTTCGGTTCCTGTTATATCGTAGAAACATTTTAAAAAATGAATTGAATTTGTCTTTTTAAAAGCTACAAATTTGTTCTCTACAATTTTTTTGATAAAATGCACCATTTTCGAGTTATTCGCGAAAAATCGATTAAAAACGTCGATTTTTTCGTCTAAAAGTTGTTACTTTCAATCGCGAATAACTTGAAAAATATCAGTTTTACAAAAAAAATGTATAGAACATTTTTTGTTTAGAATCACTTTTTTAATCGAAACCTGTAGTTAAAATGTAAAAAAAATTCACCCCCGAGAAGGGGTGGCAACCACCCCCAAGGCTTTGGCGCAGTTTGGTTCGATATAGATTTTGATCCTTGGCTATTACCTACCTTCTGTTAAAATTTCAAGTCAATCCACGCAGGACGAAAAAATTGCGAGGTGAAATGCTTCATTTCCTGGACTATAAGTGGTTTGACAGCATAATAAAATCGTAGATTTATGTGTAGCTTTCAATTTTTATGATTTCAGAATCCAGCAGCCCGCTGAAGTATTGGATTTTTATAATATAATTATTTGACAACCTTTTCCAACCACCTACAACCACAACCACCTACAGCAGAATTGAGCCGAAATACATAATATTTCGTATGTTCCGAATTTATTTCGTTCAATCTATATATATATATATATATATATATATATATATATATATATATATATATTTACGCGGTCAGATGAATAGTAGCTGAATCGGATATGTGAATATCTGAGAAATAGAAATGTCTGAGAATATCTGAGAAATATCTGAGAAATAGAAAATAGAAATGTCAAAAACTCTTTTCATTTTATTGACCTTCTGAAAAATATTTCTATTTCTCCCTCAGATATACTAGTTAGTTTTGACATTGTCTCATTGTTCACCAATATCCCTATCGATGAAACCATTTCCATCTTGGACTCCAAACATCATATCCCTCAAGACACACTATCTCTTATAAAACACTGCATGTCTAATACATACTTTTCATTCCAAAATCATTTCTATCGTCAAATCAAAGGTGCCCCAATGGGATCTCCCCTCTCTCCCGTAATAGCTGATATTTTCATGGAACATTTCGAAACAGCAGCCCTGTCCCCAACAAATCTTAAACCCACCTGCTGGTTACGGTATGTTGATGACACTTTTGTCATTTGGCCTCATGGTAGGGACGCGTTAGATCTCTTCCTCTCCCACCTGAATGGAATACATTCTAGTATTCAATTCACGATGGAAGTCGAGTCTGAAGCGTCTTTGCCATTCCTTGATGTCCTTATTCAGAAAAACTTACCTCACAGTTTTTCCTATTCCGTGTACCGGAAACCCACTCATACAAACCGATATCTTAATGCCCAGTCACATCATCACCCCGCCCAACTCAATTCAGTGGTCAACACTTTCATTTATCGTTCCATAAGACTTAGCAACATCAATCATAGGTCATCCGAAATCAATTCAATAAGACAAACACTCTTACAAAACGGCTACCACAAAACCCAAATTAATAAGAGCATTCAAAAACATCTTAACCCCATTCCATCCAAAAAAGAAACCTTGCTGCCGGATCAACCCAAAATCTTTCTACCTTTTATTAAAGGTGTCACTGACAAAATCAGTAGAACTCTTCTTCCTCTAACCATCAAAACTATCTTCACTACTCACTCCAAGTTGTCCAATCTCGTCAGATCCGTAAAAGACCAAATCCCTAATGAAGACCATGGTGTCTACGAGATACCTTGTTCCAGTTGCCCACGTACATACATCGGACAGACAAACCGACGAATCCATAACCGTGTTTACGAACATTCTATATCAGTCAAACATTCCGATACTACTTCAGCCCTAGCCCAACATCACATTCAAACAGGCCACAAAATAAACTTCGAAAAAGCGAAAACCATCGCCCCCATCCGCTCCTTAAAATCAAGAATCATTCGTGAAGCCATCGAAATCGAAAAACGGCCTAACAGCTTAAATACGCGCGACGACGCAAAACGATTGCCGCCAACATGGCGACCCCTACTTCAGCGACCTCCCGCCCATACCGTTCAGGCCACGTCAGTTCAGACCACGTCAGCCCATACCGTTCCCGCGCGTACAGCGAGTATAAAAGCAGAGTCACAGGGTAAGACCGGTTGTCACTCGACACTGAGGAGTAGGCAAATTATGTACATGAAAATCACAATTTAATATCTGAGACGGAATGAGAAAATTATGAATACAAATTTCGTAATTAAATATGAATATTTATTTCTATGAATCAACTCAGTTTTTCACTAATATTTTCTAATCTATATTTATTGAAGCTGTATCCATAAAGTCGTGAAAGAATGTAAAAAATGTATATCTCGCAGCTAAAAAAAAAAAAAAAAACAAACGTTAAAGTTTTAGTGCACAAGATCTACTAGTGATGTAAGACCTTCTTGTCGGGGTGTAAAGACTTGTCGTGCTCAATTGAGCAGTTGAGGGCGCTAATTTTGAACAGGGAACAAGACCTGGTTCAACATCAGATAATCTGCTCTCAATATGTCTCAGTATGTAAGGCTCTCTCTCAGAAAGAATCTACTGAGAAATAGTTTGCAAAATCGAAATAAAGCTAAACAGACACCGAAAAAGGTTTAGGTATCTCTTGATGCAATAACCCGACACAAAATAGGTTTTACATATATATACATTTTACATATACATCCACAAAAAACTTTTCAGGTTACAGTATAGACAAAAGTTTTGTGACTGCTTTGTTTTTTTATTATTTGTAATATTAAGTAATTAATATTGAATATTAAGCGCCAAAAAGTAAATTATAATACTTGCCTTGAACTCAAATCAATGGGCGTAAGGGTACTGCTCGTTCCAGGAATGACAGTAGTCTGTCCGATAGTTTTAGCCACTGGAGGATGGTACTGTAGATCGTACGGCATCTTCAACGTGTTCATATTGACCCTAGACGCTTGCTGGTGAGCAGGGGGTGGTTGTAGGTTAGTCTGCTGTACCGGAGTCGACCTTCTAGATTCTTCTGAGTCCTCGTTATCCCAAGTCATTCCATGTTTGGCAGGTAACGGATTCGTCATGTGACTGCTATTCAACAGAGCGTGTAATTTAGCCCTTTCTGTCTCGACGTCGATGGCTATATGTCTTTTACGTTTCTTGTTGGCAGCGAATCTGTCTGCAGCACTAACGGAGATTATTTCTGTGTCTCCGATAGACATTGGTGTAGAAGTTTCTCGTTTGGGAGGTTCGCTAGGCAATTCGTGGATTGGTATATCGAATTCGTTACCGATACCAGTAGCGTATGCAGAAAATGATTTAGTAACGGGCCATTCTTTTGTTTCTATGGCGTAAATAATGTGTTGCAACCGGACCTGAATAGCATATTCTTTAGGCCACTTAACGGCGTTATTGAACAATTGTGCAACTGTTGTTTCACTAAAGTCTAACGCCCCCACTGTTGGTTTTTCTCTTAGTACAAAGGTGTCGACTTGTGATAACCTCGAAAGCGGTTGAATTACTTCCAGATCAGGAAACATAGCTTTCAGTTCTGCTGCTTGTTTTGAACATAAATCAGCTTCGGCTTCGGCCAATTTTTTAAGTGCCTCTTTATTTTCTTTCTTCTCTTCTTTCGGTTTTGAAAGATCTTCACTTTCGGGCTCATTTTCTTTCTCTTTCTCATTTTCCGTTGACTCATTTATCTCTACTACTTTTTTCTCTTCAGTGAGTGTTTCGGTTTTCTCAATAACTTCTTTTTGCTCTTCCTCTGCCTCCGGTTTCACTTCTTTAGTTTCCTCCTCTTTAACTTGTTCTTTCGCTATTTCTTTCTCACATTTTTCACCCTTAACTATAGTTAAATTCACTTTACTGTCTTCTTCGGGTTTTTTTTCCACTGGTTCCTTTTTAGGTACGACCTTTTCTATTTTAAGAGTTCCTTCCCCTTTTTCTAGTTTTACGAGTATTTCGTCTTTGTCGAATTTGAGAATGTCTTCGTGACTTTCTAATTTTATGGCTTCCTTATTGTCGGTATTGTCAGAACGGACCTTTTTGCGCAAAACTTCGTGAAAAGAGAGATCAGGATCGTTAAGAAGATAGTAGTCGGTTCTTCCTAAACCATGTCTGGAAAAAAGTTGTATTAAAACAAATATAAAGGAATGAAAACATTAAATGACGACTTAGAGATAAATACATTGGCAAGTTTTTACAAATATTAGTGTTAAAAGTAGAATAAAGATGAGTGTTGAATGAAAGTAAAGTAAAAAAAGGCCTCCACTCGCTACGTGGAGGCTTTCTTTAAAATGAGTGTCACATTTGTTAAATGCTGACAGAACACACATGATTTCATCAAAAACGCTTGTGGTGTTTTAAGATGAACCCAAATTATTTTTAACATAAACTGAATATTGAACAAGATAATATTGAAGAGAAGATTGAGATATCAATCATATCAGTCAAAACTATCACGAAAAACATTTACCATGAACTAGAGAAAACAAGTTTGTGTAAACACACATTTAAAATATTTAAATAACAATTTCAGAACCAGTTGTAATACTATAAAAAGGAATAAATGTTTTAAAACGAAATGCTCCAATATTGTTATAAAACTGCTTTCTATATTTTGAACATCTCAAAATATACTGCAAACTGCAAAATAAATACCTTTTCACAGCCTGATACACTTTCAGATATCGAAAGCTTTTTCCAAAATAATATTTTTTTAAATAAACATTTATATGGTAACAAAAAAGTCTATTATAGTAAAAAAGTATTTTGCGTAGCACTGAAACGATGTTTTGTTCAATAAATGTTTATTCCTTTAGGATTGGTAAAAGCTTTAAAGTATTTTGGTAAAAATAAATACAAAATAATCATTGATAGTTACTCACTTGGCGACCCCCAACAGGAGATCTTTGTCGTGTTTGCCGGCAATCCACCATTCAGGCATATCAGCCGAAGTAATGCACACCCTCAACCTTTCGTCGAGTTTGGGATGGGTCAAAATTTCTTCTCTAATCCTCGACAACAGCTCCAGTCTTTCCAATGTCCTCCGTGCCTTTTCTTCCGAGATATGCTCGATGGTATTGTCATAGTTGCTGTCTTCTATGTTCATGCCTGTCTGCTTCTTGCACATCATAACGAAGTGTTTGTAATATTCAGTAAGTTCTTCGTCTGATTTTTTTTCTAATTTCGCTAGTTGCTTGAATTTGATCCAATCATACGATTTCTTCTTTCTAAAATACAATAAAGAAATGTTTTATACACCACATATGAATCTAAATTATGAAATATGTTAATAGGATACACTGTCACTGTCAGTTGTTCTTATGACGTGAAAGATGAAAATTAACATATTGGTTACAGAGGCAAGCAAAAAGGTTAGCAACGGTCTGCTCGATGCGCAAAACTATTCTTAGAGCTTTAGAAAACTGAACTCAGACAGAGTAATCATTGGACACTGCTTACTGTAAAATGGGGAAAGAGGACAGTACCTATAATGCACATTTTGCAAAAATGCAGAAATAAAAGAAATACCGGTGCTGTCTTCATTTGATTATGGGATTGTAGTTCATGTTCTTTTTAGAAGCTAAACTATTGTACAGACACAGTGTCTTCCAGGTCAAACGAACACTTTGAAATACACCCATGGACAAAAATATGGAATATTTATGTTATGTCACCATAACTAAAAACAATTACGAAATATCTTGCTAAGATTATTCATTATTATGATTATTATTATATAATTCATTTAGCAGGTGGTGCAAGTATTTTGACATTTCGTCTTGTAACACAATAACATTTATTTTAAGTTGAGTGTTTTGTTAAAATATATTTTCCCAAAATTGTAAGATTTATTGGCAGTTCAGTAGTTTCAAGTGGCGCTGTCAAAACAAAAATCGAATTTTGTTTACATTTTTTTCACTATATATGACAATATAATGCCACCAGTCAGACATTACAATGAAGTTGAAGTAGCACAAGATGTAACCTAATCTATTGGTGTATACAGAAAATTATTACGAGGTGCCTCCATATATTCCAATCTGCTTTGTTAAGTTTTAAAAAGGTATCGCGAAACAGGAAATTATTAAAGAATACTGAATCAGGAAATAAAATAGTGTGTAAGTGCCATAGATGACCGCTTTTTAATTGTTCAGCGCTTAAGAAATCGCTCATTGACATCGCATGTTAAAAACGAGTTGTTAAAGCAAGACAGGTTGATTGGTTGTACTTGGTGGACTTGGTTAGCACTAATAGTTCTAAAACAGTCAGATGAAGATTAAAAAATGCTAACTCAAAACCAAGACGTTCTGCCAAAGTTCCATGATCCTCCCAAAACGACAAAAGGTGTCTATTAGAATTTGCCAGAGCACATTTTAATTGGACTATCAATCCTCGCCATTCGCCAACTCTTCTACAGAAGAGTTGGCGAGTGGTCTACCAGTTGTAATCTCATACAGAGAGGTTGTTTTGGTGATGGCGGCATAATACTATAGCATGTTATGGAGCGGTATACTTTGGAAGGACATCCCAAACTTTGGAGGTGATTGGGCGAATGACAGCTGATATGTACATCAAAAATATTTTAGATGATATTTTACCATTTCCTGGCAATAGTGGATATAACAAATTCGAGCTAAAGCACGATAACGCACGTTCTCATTTTTCTGGAATGGCGAATGCTTACCTTGATGAGGTTATATTTGAAAGAATACATTGCATTGGACACCGTGTAGCCCGTATTTCAATCCAATAGGGAATTTATGGGGCACTTTAAAACGTCGTGGGTTTTGGAATTTGATGAACTCGGTGTTAATTTTGTGTTTTTTTAACAAAACGTTAAAATAAGTAATAATTAGTTTCAATCTATTTTTTGTTTCCTCTCTATAAATTTCCATGTTGAATTTTCTATTCACTCAAAACATGTTAAATAAAGAATTATCTTCAGAAAAGTGTTTTGGTAACATGAACTCATCATATTGAATATATTTACGATAATTTCAAAATATTCCATATTGTTGTCCATTAGTGTATATTATCTCCGAGGACAATCAAAAGTGGTCGAAACAAGTAAAGTTTTTACTTTTTGGTGTAGTACACAATATCAAATAGATGTCATTTGTGAGCTTATTCAGAAATATTGTGGATTGAAAACAGCAAAAATTCTAAGCTATAGTTTTGTCCAATCTTATATACTAAAACGCTAAGCCCTTTTCTTGTCCACCACTTTACTCAAAAACCATATTAGATAATTAAAATATGTTTTCGGAATATTATTAGTATGAGATTGTCAAGATATACTTTTGGTACAAAAATTCACTTCCGGTTTTAAGATGACTGGAAGTTAAAATTTACTTAGTTTTAGACCCCACAATGTATATATGGATCGAAAGGTCTCGTCGAGACGAATCTAAATATGTACTTCCGGTTGCGATCCGACGCTGGAAGTGACCCGAAACGAGCATAAAACGTCAAGATAGAGCAAATCTGACACCGGATTCGTGATCAGCATGCACAATAACTGCTAAATGATATCCATGTCGACATTTGATGAACTAAAAATTGCATTCCGGTTTTGAGGTCGACTTTCGCTTTATAAATATTTCGTGATATTTAATACACTTTTTACTTGCATTATTATTGATGAATGTTATGTATATTCTTGCTTATATTGTTTGTATTGATCTCTTAATTTTTCTCGCAAAATAAAAATTTCATTTAAAAAACTCGATGTCGAGTTGGTCCGCTAGTTTATCATTAAATAAAATCCGAAGTAAGATAGAACTGTTGAACGAAGATTAACGAACTGCTCGTGTTAAACCTCAAAAATTTCTAACACATTACGAAACAGAAGGGAAGCATTTTTACTTCGTATAGTGGTGTCTAACTTGTATACACCACTATTCAGCCGAATATAAGAGCAAAATCTGTCCGATAAAAAGACAAAAACTCTTGTGTACATCAATAAAGTTTTGGTTAGTAATTTTCAGTTATAAAGTTTTATTAATAGTTTTTCTCCGCGATAGACAAACCGTTAATGCTATTTGCTACTGCCATCTTTTACACCGTATTTGAGTTGCCTATCTGATCAAGAGAAAGAGATGAAAGTGTAAAAATACAATAGATAAATTAAAAACCCTGAACCACTTTACCAGCAACAATGTACTCTATATTACTGTATACAGTGGAACCTTGATTATCCGTCTCTCTATTAACCGTCACCTCTGTTAACCGTCAGGGTCCATACATAAGTTATGTTGACAACAGAAGTAAAAATTTAGTCATCAATTCATTATGTTTGAGCATTGCGATGAGCCAAACGAAATTCGTTGTAAGGTGCAAGTGAACTTATGCCACCACCGCATTATTGTTCTTATTCAGGGCTCTGGATTAAATTATAATTAAAATAGGTAATGATAAATGATACCGTGCTTTTAGAGTTTCATTTTTAGAATCGCAAGTCGAAAATAAAATCGCAGAGCACAATAATTATTACAGTCAATATCTGTGTGTCAACATAATTCAATTTGATTCAAATTCAAACATTGCTTGTGTCAGTCGCATTGAGCAAAAAGTGTGATGTTCCGAGAACAACAATCAATGATTTAAAGAAAAATGCTGATGGAATTATATGCTTCGCAAATGGAATCGTTGGATGGCCGGATGAAACATAGTTAGACAATGAAAACAAAATGATGAAATGTTGAAATGGCAACAAAGGCGGACGAAACTGATTCCGAAGCTGACAGAGACTTTGATGTGGCGATGTTGATGATGTTATTGCAACTCACAAATATTTGCGTAAAGAAGTTAGAGAAGCTGCATCGCACATACAAAAATTCATCAAGTGGTATTCCCGGCAAGAAGAAGCAAATAAGGTAGATTTGATGATTTAATGTCGATTAAGAAATTTAGCCGTTGCAAAATGTGAAGTAACAATAAAACAAAGATTTCGAAATATTTTATATCAAATTGATTCGACTGTACTAACATAAATCCCTATTATATTGTCAAAAAAAAAACATACAAATACAATTTGAGCGTTATACTATGAATTTTTTTAATGTTCTGTTAACCGTCATTTCGATTATCCGTCATACCCTTAATCCGGTGCCCTGGCGGATAATCGAGGTTCCACTGTATAAATAATCTTAGTATAGTTTACCTATAATATATAACTCCATACGACGACACAACTCGGAAGAAATCTGCTTCTTCCCTCTTCGTCCAACGTTTCCCAATGGTTAATTTTTCTCTTTCTTTCATAGGATCTCGCATGGTATCAACGGTTTGTTTTCCCTGTCGTTCCATCTTCTGAAAGTGTGAGTATCAAATTCTTCGCAATTTATTTTTGGTTGTTAGTAAAAGAAAAAAAACAAAAAATATTAAAAAAAATTTTGCATTTAAATAATGCCATTTATTTATTAACAGGGGATTCTTTACAATATCACCTTGTGTAAGTATTGGCCAAAATTTTATTTTAAATTGCTTTTAAATTAGTGCGATAGTCATGTCGTGTTTATTTTCGTGCATGGTTCAACGGTACGAGATTTTCTTTGGTAACCTACTTATCAAACCGCTCGTATATTTATACTTATAGTTGAAACATGAATTATCAAGTCCAAAAATAGGTAACAAAGGACATATTTCAAATTCAAAAATTGAATTATAATATATATTTTGAATTGGACCATCTAAGGTACGCTGATGACATCGTATTGATAACCGATAAAAAAGAAGAATTATTTGAAATGATGAAAGAACTGGACGTAGAAGCTGGAGAGATAGGCCTTAATATGAATTACAGCAAGACCAAAACCATAACAAATACAGATGAAGACATCACAATGAGAATCGGGCAAGATGAAATAGAACAAGTTCAGGATTATATATATCTTGGTCAAACTATAAAACTTAACAAAGAGAACCAGTATAAAAGTACTTTTATAAGTATATAAGTATATATATATATATATATATATATATATATATATATATATATATATATATATATAACGCATAGTTTAACTTGTTTGATTTCTTTGCTCTATTTCTTATTTACCAGTCTTTCCCATTTTTAGTTCTATTAAGCGTGTGATGGGGCTATTAAGCAAGTACTCAAGTTTTAACTGATGATGGGGTGATAAGACCGAAAACGATTTGACTATTGTTTGGATTTTTCAATTTTAATGTTTTTTACTTAATTAGAAGTTTTTACTTAATTGTAAAGTTTTTTTAAATTGAAAATTTTTAGTTCCTTTGCATTGTCTGGTGTAGGATACTGTACTGGTGTATTGTGAGGATTTCTGGTTTCTGGTGTTATACCTTTACTCGCAATTTCGTGTCCTAAGTATAAGCTTTCTCGTAAACTCGCATTTATTTGGGTTTAATTATTTAAGTTTTGGTTATGTTGTTGCAGATTGTTGCCAAATCGTCCAAGTATATAAAACATGTTTTGGTAATTTAAACCTGACACTACCATCTTCTTCTTCATGTACCATGTCCTTTCAGAACGTTGGTTACCATCATAGCTATCTTAATTTTATTCACTGCCACACTAAATAGCATGCTTGTATCAACACCATACCAATCTCGCAAGTTCTTCAACCGTGAGGTTCTTCTTCGTCCTGGACTGCGTTTGCCTACTATTTTTCCTTGCATGATATTTTGTAGCAGCCTATATTTGGGACCTCTCATTACATGCCCGAAATACTCCAGCTGTCTCAGCTTGATGCTTTTTATGATCTCATTTACCATCGTCACCTTAAAAAACATCCGAGGCTTGTCTTCAATCCCATAGGAAGTAGGGTCATATGGTATTGACCCCTGTTAGTTGCGAATGCCGTGTCAGGTCCTGATTATGAGTTGAGTTCTATTTGATAATATTCTGGGTATAAATCTAAGTGTGGAAAATATGTTGCCCCAGATATAGCGTCTAAATTTCTTCTACGCATGGTAGTAGAAATCTATCGTTCTCAATTTTATTAATGAGTTGTCTGTAGTCTATCACTTCCTTCCAGATCTTATTTCCACGTTCGTCACTTTTCTTTGTTACTATTTGGTAAGTCAGTGGTGATGAAAATTCTGATGTGTTTTTAATCATTCCTTCTCTGAACATCTTGTTTACTTGTTCATTATTGTCCGATGTTTGATCGTGTGATAATCTGTATGGTTTTGTGTATGTCGGTGATGCTCTTTTGTGTATTTATTTTTGCTTTGTATATCTCCGTTATTTTGTACATGGATCGGTTTCTAAAAAAAAAACGTCCGAATATTATACACAATTTTTTCATATTCCTCGTTTTCTGTAGTTTTAAGTTTAAGGTTTAGTAATTGATTGTAGCGAAGTATATCGATAAAGTCTGTTCCAATTACTCCTATGATATTAGAAAAACTAGACATAGCGGCGAGTTCGTCTCGTAATTTAGTTATTACTGATTCATGAAATACGTCATGTGAAAATACTTCCAAAGGTTTATGTTGATATAGTTTTATCTATTTATTTCGTTTCTACCGTCCAACCATTATTTGTATCATGCGTTGATCGGATCACCTGAGTATATTAATAGTTTCATTTGTTTTAATTTGTAATTGACATAATGTAATTCAGTCCATTTATTTTGAAATTATTTGTTTCTATTCGTCGGTCCACGAAAAAAATATATTTCCGGCACTGTACTTGTTTGTTGTTCGCCTGTTGCGAAATATGCACCCGCTGTGCGTCTGTTCCTGTGGTTTCTCCCCTGTGTCCATATTATTGTTTCTTTTTTGAGGTACAGTCGTTGCTTGTACCTCATAGCTAGTGATTCCAAGGCAATCAAGTGTTTGCACCTCGCTAAGTTTGAGAATGGCACTTTTTTGCTGCACCTTTGGCCACCGTACCACGGATACACATTTGTAATTGTTGGTTCTACCACCATGTTATAAATCAAGATTAACATTCCCGGTTTTAAACCACACATTCTTCCATGAATGCGTCTGACTACCACTAAAGTGTAGATAGTTACCGATCTTACTCATCCTTTTGGTAAATTTCATGATTTTGGAACTTGTCTAGGTTTGTGATAAGCCCCATATTTGAAGTCCATTCTGCAACTTCTGTCAAAGCCTGTTGCATTAAGGGGACAGTCTCATGCGAAACTTTCAAAAAATCAAAAAAATTTTTTTTACATAAATCGCTTCCATTTACATTCAAAAACTCCCTCCTAAAATTTTAAAAAGAAATTCCCACTAGAATATAAGTTATAGTTATTTTATTAACGTCAGATACACACGTATGAACACCGCTTTCTCTCCGCGCGGCGAGCGCGAGGCTCCAGCTGTTCTTGCTTTTGTATATATGTTGTATTTACGTTGGGTATGTATTAGTGATTTATTTTTATATAGTATGTATATCTGTATAACGTTTGGCAGTTACTATACACATTTGGAATTTAAAATCCGGAACAAAGGATTTTTTACAAATACTAAGATTCTCTGCGTTGCAATTAACCAGTGTAAATTTCTTTATAAGGTCGCGATGTTTTATAACTAATTTATTTGTTCCACTGGATTACTATTACTTCTCCTCAGCGGTTTGTAGTAGCGTATATGGCACGCCGACAGTGTTGCTCCGTCTACCGATTTTTCCTGAAAGTCCGGTTTTGTGCAGATAATAAATAATGTTTTATTAACATCAATTTTGTTTGTGTTCATTAGGTATTATTTAAGTTATAAAATTTATACTTAAATACATTTATTATTCCAAATATTGTTTATAATTTCAAATTAAAAAGAGTGTAATATGATTAATTAATTTTTAAAATTCCTTTTTATTTTTAATTTTAGAAATCAACTCTTTTTCACGCCGTTTTGGCAATAAAACATAACCATTTTTTTAGTTATAAAATATTTTCATATCTACATTTACAAATTAGTAGATACGTTTTCGTTAAATTGACATGCGATCTAGGTGTGTTCCGTTTTTACACTTACACTGTCAGCATCGCGGCGTGCATTGAGACTCCAGTCGAACTAATGAATTAATTATAAAACATCAAATCAAAAAGAAAAAAGCTTTACAAAGCCATTTACAACAACTGTTGGATGAAGAGGGACCTCAATATTCACCAGGAATGGCCGGTTAAACGTGAGTATAAAGTTATCAGCCTTTAATTCACGAAAATAATGTAAAAAAAACTTTAAATGCTTTTTTCTCAAAAGTAACATTTTCAAACTGGTCAGACACTTTTCTCCGAACCTTCTTAACCGATTTTAAAAAACCAAAAATTTTTCGAATGTATATACAAAAGACTAGATGATAAACCTTTAAAATATTTAAAAACCACCCCCCCCTTTTATTATATATGGGTAAATCCACCCAAAAACATAGCGATTTTTCGACTTTTTTGAAAAAACTCGTATAAACTCTTCAAAATAATACAATTTGCATATTTTAAAGGTTTATCATCTAGTTTTGAGTCTCACGAATTCAACCCATTTTGAATTTTTTGAATATCTGTTACAGGTGACCCACAAAGTGTCTTACCACCAAAAACGCACTTTTTACTACACGCCATCTACAGGACACCAATGAAGTTAAAATCGCTATTAAAAATTTTTTTATGTACTTCAAGACTTACTTAATCATCTCCAAAAGGAATTATGTTAATAAATATTATAGTTTTTTTTCTGCTTTAATTTTAAAATGTGTCTCTTTTTTTTTAATCGCATGAGACTGTCCCCTTAATATCTCTGACTATGCTATGGATTAAATTTGCCGTGAGCTAAGATCACCAGGACATGATGCCTACCGTTCATAATCTAGTTAATAACCACTTTTTTTTTGTTTCCTGTGGAATGGAATTGAAAGTGGCGTAAACGCAGGAGAATTTGCTTCGATTTGGATATACACTTTTTAAAAGAATCAGTACTCAGTGTCAATGATAGTTTAAAAATAATTATTTACACCGGGTTGTAGCTACCAGAATGGTAACGCAGTCATGACAAATAAGTTATTAAATTGATCTGTCACTAATAACATTACAATTGTACAACATATTTGCAAACTGGATTTACTCAGCGTATATAATATGCCCTATATTGTAAGATAACTTGAAAAAATCGAAGAGCATTTAGCGTAAGGTATTTAGAACATACATTTTTCAGCTGATTACTATGCATATTATCACTATAATATACCTCATCAGTAAATTCTGTCAAGCTCTAATTATGTTTCGGTTTGATATTTGTATTTTGTTTCTGTTTCCATACACTATGTTTTATTATGTTTCCATTCATTACTATTCAAAATATTCTTGTTCTTGTATATTTTTCACAATATTTGTAAAATTTACGTTTTGAAACATTTCTAATACTCTGGAATGAATCTTGTATTCTATTCAACGTATCATTTTGCCTTGTTGGAAGCTCTTTCACATCACCTTACGCAACAAGTAACTTTAGTGAACCCCGGTAAACGAGCCAACTACAGAAAAGGTACTCCTTTTCGTACCGATCACCAGGGAAATGGGTATTAACATGATTCTGAATTAATGTTGCTAGGTCTATAGCAAACATTCATAGAACACCGATTTTGACTATGAGTTTCTAGAAAATGGAAAATCTTTAAAAAGGCCTTGAAAGTTGATTCCTTTGAGACAGTATGTACATCCTTTGAGACAGTATGTACATGTTTACAAGTTTACAGGTAGTATTAAAAAAATTAGCTCAAGATAAAATAAACGATTTTTTATTGTATTATTCTTTATATATCTATATTTCCTTAGTTAATTTAAAAAGCAGTATGCCTGGGTCATATTTGACATACCTTAGATGCAAAAATAATTTTATAAAAATGGGTTTCTACGCAAAATAGACCTAGCCTAATTATTGCCCATTCTTTATTCACCAGACTGTATTAATGTTTATTTTAAAAACTTTTATATTAAATATATGTAAATTTCAAAAATTCTAATTTCTTAAAAAAACTAAGTTACAATAGTTTAACTAAGTAAAATAAAACAACAATATGGGGACACCCTTACCAACATTTTTTAATTATTTCACAAACGATGATAAGAAACTAGATCGAAAAGGTAAATTAAATATAAACATAAATTGACTCATTGCAAACAATATAATGTACTTGGAAGCATAATTATTTAGATATAATTATTATGTAGAATTAAACAATAATCTCAACCAAACATTTAGATTTTTTTCGGACGCACTTTTTGTTTCTTCCAAAAACATTATGGAAGAACACTTATTAACTAACAAGTAGAGTATTTAACAAAAACTATCGCTATGGAACAGACAAACACAACATTGTTAAAACAAAGAGAACTATCTATATTCAAACAAATTCTTACCTCGAAATGCCGATCGCTTAGGCCAGACCCCGAATTTGAAATGTTCTATAGAAAAAAAATATATTAGACTGACTTTTTTTATAATATTTACCCGTTTAGTAACTACCCTTTAGTAAGTTTATTATGTTTTACTTTTACACTTACACTGTTTTACTTTGTGTTTACACACATATTCCAAATGTCGTTGTTGTTAAATACAGATATTCCAACAATATTCCAAGTAATGTCTTATCCTCGAGATAATTGTTAATAGAAGAGATTCACCTTACAGAAAATTACTGCTGAGCATTTTTAAAGTTTTGAAACAAAATAATCGCTGTGAACCAAATCTGGCAAATTAAGAGAGTGAAGAAATATTAATTCATTTATGAATTTTGCCTGATATAATCGCAAATTTATGGAAAGGTGTGCCATGCAAATAAATTATATGCCGTTGTTGATGCTGATAATCGAATTCGAGCGCTTTGGCTCAGAAGGCCAGTATTTTGATCTCTGAGCTACGGCCGCCACGATTTCTCGTTAATTCCCTGCAACAAATTCGAATAAGACTAGATATTAATCGTATGCCTTTTCTAACTAGTAGATCACCATAATACCAGATGAATCAAACAACAATACATATATCCAACAATATATATATATATATATATATATATATATATATATATATATATATATATATATATATATATATATTTGTTAAGGACCACTCTAGGAGAGGTGGGTTTTTCGGTCAAAAGGTGGAGAAAAAAGACAAAGAAGGTGGTTACTTCATCTACTTATTGAAGACGTTTCGCTTTCTAATCAGAAAGCATTATCAGTTCATCTAAAAAAAAAACAATATGAAACCTAACCTAACATCCATAGAAAAGTCATTATAAGTGTGTTACCTCAAAGACATGTAGCAGTCAATGATATTAAATGCGTAAAGAAGCTTAAGACATTGGACATTAAATAGTTATGTTGTATAAACCATTAACTGAAACTAAACACAGTTTACAATATATATATATATATCTACCACATAGTGGTATAGGACGATACTACTACAGTTAAAAGAACCACAAAAAATACGGGAACCATGTTACTGCAGTAGCAGTTTCGGTCGTCCAGTCTGGGGTTAATAATTTGTGCTATTACCACCATACTTATATTCAAAAACCAATTTTTAACAACTGAAGAACAATTCTAATAATATTGAATCCAGCACCTCTATTTTGTGACTGATCTCGGATCTTAGCGGTTTATTCCATTGTTTGCACATATAAAACAACTGAACTAGCATATCCTTATCCATATCAAGTACACATCGCATATAAAAAGTTATATCGGAGAAACAAAACAGGGAATTTTAAAATAAATGCAGGTCTTAGCTAACAGAAGTTAGCTTTGTCAAAAATAACAATGAACCTTTTTGAATGAACTTAATAAGAAATTTATTAAGTTGTATTCTTTGATAAAATGTCTTTTATTGTCAATAAAAATGTCTTTTTAACTTACTATTTTCAGGGTCTGACCTAAAGACGGCAGTGATCTTTGTACTTACCAATAAATAAAGGGCCAGCTGCTGTAGATCCCATCCCTGGAGGCCCAGAGCGGCCGCGTCTCTTGGATCGAACTGCTGTGACACCTGCGCCAGTGCGGCCAAGGGGGAGGACAGAGCAGTATCTATCTGGGGGGTCTGTACAAGTGCAATCTCTCACTACTAACTACCCGACACAGCCATAACGCTCATGCGTGTGCACAAGAGATGGATGGGTACAGGGTAGATAGATTTGATGATGAATGATTAAGAAATGAGTAAGTAAGAATGTTCTTTTGGTTTGCATATAACTGTTAAGATCTCAGGAATTACATTAATTAAAATATTCTTACTAACAAGTAGTTTTAGTTAGTAACTACACAATTTTCTAGATTATGTGAGGTAGTTCAGTCCCTCACATACTTAAATTTCTATTTTTACCAACGATGCATGAATTTTTATTATTTCCTGCGTTTTAAAACCAATTTAGCTTATTATCAAAACATACATAGATATTAATTTTTCTTTTAGTCAGAATTTGGAGTGAATTGTTCATCCAATATGTACATAATCTTCTCTAGAAATGACACGCTACTAATGGATCTATCAAAGCCGCATACCTCTTAAGTTTTCTTTGACAACAGGATTCTACCTAGTGCAATGCCATCCTTCGAAGTAAACGGACGCGTCCAGTACAAAGTAATGATCAGTGCACAGCGAGGTGCTCGATGGCAAGCTAAGCGACTTTCAACGCTGATTAATTTTGTGGATTCTTCGACTTTTTCGATCATTTTTGAAGAATTAAAACATTTTACCTACAATTTTTTTAGCTGAAGATTTTTCGACTTCATTTTTTTTTCTACCACTGTGTGGACTTAACTTTATTTTTTATTTTTCAGGACTCAGTCAACAACAAGGAAGCCACATCTTATGAAAATGGAGGTGAGTCCTAACCGCTTCGAGTCACTTGCTAGCAAAAGCGAATGTGAAACATAACGATAGGGAGGGACGGACCCCAACAACCAAGGAGAGCGGTGGAGAAAGCTCTAGATGTTCATCCGCAGCCTCGACAGGATGCACCAAACCTAGCAAATAGATACGAAAGCCTTCAGATAGCTGCCAGGAAAGCAACGACAACGAAGAGATCTTTACTTAAGAATTTCTAAAAGAAATCACGAAGCTCAGGCAAGAAATTGAAAGACTGAAAGACAGAAACGTTGGTCAAGAGCAGCGTTTCGACAACCGAACGGAAGAGAAAAACTCCACATAGAATATAAAAACATCGAAAATTGGGGAAATCTAAGAACGTAGATAAGAAGGAAACCCAAAGAAGAAAAGAGAAGAATTTCCACCACTAGAAGAGACAGATGACAACTCAGACAACAAATATATCATGAAGATAGAATTCGAGGAAATAACTCCAGTAGTGAAGAAAGAGACCAAAGAAATCTTGGAATCAGCCACAGAAATAGGGTAATCACTGAACAAGATCTCAATAAATGGTAGAGAAAATCTAATCCAAACAAAAAATTCAGAGGTTTACAGAAAAATGACCAAAATCTTATAGGACTACAACAAGAAACCAATAAAATGGATTCGCTTTCACCTAGACGAAGACAGAACTTGCACAGTTCTCATAAGAGGCCTACTAATTAATCTAACATAAGGAATGATAAAGGAAGAACTTTTGAAACACCACGTAGAGACAATAACGAATATAATATCAAGAAAACGGAACCTCTGCATCACAGAGATGAATAAAGAAAAGCTGGGCGAAGCTATTTAAGGTACCCCTGCCACACGAAAGTAACAATAAAAGACTTAAGAAGAACTGGTGGCCCAATCCAGTGTTACAACTGCCAGACAAGTGTTAAACTGCCCATCCGGCCAACTACAGAGGATGCAGAGATTCCACAAACATCCAAGATCCCAGTCATTCATGAAGCGATTTTCCTGAAAAAATGAGCACCCACGAAGTTATGGAATATCTCAAGATAGGCTTATGGAGTAATAAACAGGATGGAAATGGACATAGTTGCAATTCAAGAAACAAAGCTTAACAAGGACATGAAGATAAAGTTCCCTGGATACTACATGTACAGATATGGCTACAGAGCAAACTCAAAAGGAACAGAAATTGTGGCGGAGACACGTATAAAACACATACAACTGCCGACACCAGTGGAACTCAACACCATGGTAGTAACTTCGGTAAAATGTTACCAATTCCAACGGTAACTTGAACATCTTAATTTTTAATAATATATAATGTAACAAAACTTTAAATTAACAACATTTAACGGGTTTTTACCCATATATTTTAGTGGATCATAGCATGTATACTTCGTTACACTGATGATGGAATTTCATTCCGAAAACGTTCTCTAATGTAATTGTGATATAGCCCGTTTGGGTATTTTATTATATACCTTTTATAAAGGATTTTAAATAAAAAAATTTTTTTGACAAGGATTCACATAAGGGTTCAATTTGGTCTAAAACCTGCTTGGTCAACCAAAATAACTTTGAAATATAGTTGGACTTATCCTCTCGTAGAATAGTTTTCTATTTATGTACATTATCGACGGATTCACTGAGCTTAGGAAGTTTTTGTTGAGGGGTGTTTTATCACAAGTTATCGTATTGAGCATATAGACTCGTTGTTTGGATCTTTTAATTTTCTAAAATATCAGTAAAACTTTAGTTTTGCTGAACTCAGACCAAGTATTACCTGTTCTACGATTTTTCAATCCTCAGTTTCAAGCAAATTCTGATTTGGACGTCATTGATTTGGGTCTCAAAATACACCCTAAATTATAAGTTGCAGATACACGATGATTCAAAGGTAACGATGACATTTTTTGAATAAGTTAACTGCACATTTATCATTGACTAATACAAACTTAAGAATCAATAACTAATTGGCTAGATTACTTTCGCTGCAAAATTATTAAAATATGTTCTAAATTATGTAATAACAAATATAAAAATTAGCTAAAATAGTCCAAAATTGAATAAACATATTATCTTTTATCACTTAATAAAGAGAAAATTGAACATTCTTACTTGTCACACCACGAAAAATATATTAAATAGATAATAACGTATAAACAATGTAGGTATAGATGACAAAATCTACATATAAAAGTTACAATCAAGCGCCAAGCACACGTACGTCAGGTATGAGATCTAAAAGGGGTGTAACAGGGTTGCCACTTCTTCATGTCAATATCGAGATAGTGTGAATTGTTTATCGAAGGTTAAAATTGTTAATAATTATTATTTTAAAGTACTTCGAACAAAATTTGGAATGATAAATAGTTCCTACAGATACCTCTCCTACATACTCGACACAATTTGAGTAATTACATTTAACGGGCCATTTAAATGGCCAAAATAAAACGGGCCAATTAAAACGACTGAAATGCAATGAAAAGATTGTAACGATAGATCGAACGACCACACACTACGTGGAGTGGTAACCGCAGTCCTATGTGTGTTTCTTAATAAAATAAAATGATCCATTCATAGACGATAAGAAATTTATGCTCCCCCTCCTCGGTCACTCCTGGAGTTCCACATCCCGTTTTTGTTGCTAAATTGCCTTTTTTGGGTTTATTACCTTGGAATATGAAAGGTTGGAATATTTCCTGCCCCAATATATCTTAATTAAACGCTTTTAAAAATTTACTTGTAATTTTTTAAATTTACTTGTAATGACTAGACGTTTTGCAGGCATTTCATCTGGACTTTTCTATAGTTAATTGTATTGTGGCTATTACGTTAACATCTACATACAGTGTAGGAAAAATTTTATGGTCGGTATGGTAAAATTTAACAGGATATCTAACGCAGATATAAAATCATATTTTCAGCGAATAGACAAAGATAACAATCATATTTCCCCTTGGTCTCCCCTCCTCAAATATTTTTAACACCTATTGGCCATTAGTGAGACGAATAGTTCCGATCAGAGATATTTTACATATTCTCTGGTTCCGATCCTAATATACCTAAAGAACTAGAGGTGGGTCCTCCCGTTTTTTAAATTTTTATCGGAACCGTTTTTCGTAAACTGTAACTAGTTGATTCAAATTAGCGAGTACACAAACATATTGGCTATTATCGTTTATGTGTATAAGTATTGAAGTGAAAGAACCTAACGAAGGATATATTTATTATAACTTGAAAAATAAATTAAACAATACAAATAGTACTTACATTTACATTACACGTTATTATTAAATCGCGAACCGTCTAAATTGACATTTAAAAACAAGTTTTTCTACTTTTCTTGTTAACTGTGTTCTTCTTTTATTTAAAATTAAACCAGCTTTTAAACATGTGTTCACAAGGAAAAGATTTTGTTACAATTCTACAATATTTTATGAATATAGTGGCTAAGTTAGGATATACATGGCGATGGTTTTTCCACCACGGTAATGGACAGTTCCAATCTCCGTTCGAAATTTATTGTGGGTAATATATTATTAGACAAATACATGTCTACTTCTTGTATATCTCTCGATACAGTTGTATGTTTAGATGAGTCATGTCCAATTAATTCATCAAAAATACACAATGGACTTAAGTCATCTTTATCAGTTTCTTTTTCTTGACTAAACTTATTGATTTACTAAACTTATGCAAAGACTCGTTTCATCCGTTTTCTATAGGTGAAGAACCAGATTTTAAAAAGTTTGCAGGGTGGATTCCTGGACATAAACCGCCAACAAGAAAAACTGTTAGATTCATTACTTCAGGAATGTTATGTCAAAACTGATTTGATAATAGATAAAAAAAGTCTTTTTTTCGACAATTCTGCAAAAAACATTAAAAAAAGTACCTTATCTTCAGAAAGGCTTAATTACAACATAACAAAGTTCCCAAACGGCCAATCCAAGACGTGAAAACTAGGTAGAACTTCACCTATTACAGGTTAAAAAGAATGACTGAGTTAGAAGAGGCAATCCGTTTCACTTCTTCTTCTTTAAGTTCCATCTTCTATCGAAGGTTGGAAATCATCATGGCTATGCCGACTCTGTTGACTGCCGCTCTAAAAAGGTCTGCACTACTTCATTCAAACCATTCCCTTAAGTTCTTAAGCCAGGATATTCTTCGTCTTCCCACATTTCGCTTTTCTCGGATTTTGCCCTGCATAATAAGTTGTAATAATGCGTATTTTTGCCCTCTCATCACATGTCCCAAGTACTCAAGTTTTCGTCTTTTAATAGTTAATATTATTTCTGCCTCATTTCCTATCCTTCTAGTTACTTCAATGTTTGACATTTTTTGAATCCATGATATTCGTAGGATTCTTCTGTAACACCAAAATTCAAAGGCGGCCAACTTATTCAGATGAACTTGTTTTAGTGTCCAAGCTTTCAGACCATAAAGAAGAGTAGAGAACACGTAACATCGAAGCATTCTCAGGCGTTGTTCTAACCTTATATCCCGACAACAAAGAAACTTTTTAAGTTAAATGATGTACGTGCTATTTCAATACGTGTCTTAATTTCTTTGATTTGGTCTACATCTGATGTTATCCATGTTCCTAAGTATTTATAGTTATTAACACTCTTAATTGCAGTATCTTCAATAGTCAATTGGATATTTGTGCAGATTTAGTCATGATCATGCATTTAGTTTTCTTTAAATTTATCTTCAGTCCGTACTCATGACAGCGTTCATTAAGGCGTTGCATTAGGTTCTGTAAATCATTGTTGTTATCCGTAATTATTACTGTATCGTCTGCAAAACGTAAGTTATTCAAAACTTCTCCATTGATAGATATACCTTCTATTGAGTCAGAGAGCGCTTCTTAAAATACCGATCACTGTAGACATTGAAAAGTAGTGGGGACAGCACGCAACCCTGGCGGACTCCTCTCTGTATTTTGATATTTTCGGTGTACTGGCGTGTATTTCCGTTCCACATCGGTATTAAATAATACAGACTTAGACTTAGACCAAATCTAAATAAAAAACACTGGATTATTTGTTCTCAGCTTTCCCAAATTTTACGGCCGTTTAAAGAAATAACATGTTCAATGAGTGACCAAAAATACTTGAAGGGTAGTTCAGTGATTGTTATGGTACGCCATATGTTTTGGCCATTATGTTTGTTTATGTAGGTACTCTCTTACTTGAAACTACTTTTAAACAATCATAGTTAGTTGTTTACAAAAATTTAAATTTTTAAATTCATTCATTTTTTTTGGAATCCTGAGAAAACTAACAAATATTTTTGAAAAATTTAAATGCAGAATAAAAGATTACATTATTACCGAGGGCCGAAAGTCCCTTAGAATAAACAAAAAGTTTTTTGAATGAGATATTTGAAATTAAAAATCACACTAATTTTTTTTTTTCGCTCTTATAACTTATTAAAATAAACATTATAGAAGTTTTCAGGGACTTTTGGCCCTCGGTAATAATGTATTGGTTCATTCTGCGTTTAAATTTTTCAAGAATATTTATTAGTTTTATCAGGATTCGAAAAAAATGAATGCATTTAAAAAATATTAATCGCTCTTACGCTCTTAACGATAAAATTACCACGACCCACCTCTACTACCCGTTACTCGGTATTCTGACCAGACGGACGACGTTGCCAAATAAATTATTGTGTGTGAATATTTTTTAATGTGGTGTTATTGTATGCAGTTTATTATTTCATATTGGGAATAAGGCACAATGTGACTTTAAAATAAGCTTATTTTGATGTTTAGATTTTTAATTCGGAAATCGTACTTAAAATACGAAACATTAATAAATTTTATTTAGGTATATAAAACGATTTCCAAAGTGGAAATCAAAATCTTATATTACACTTATTGTAAAGTAAACTTGTGGCATATTCCCAATAAAAAAAAGAGTAAGCTGCCATTTAAATCAATTTCGCCCAAATTGGATTATCTTAGAACATTGTTCAAATGCAAAAAAAACAACAGGTGAAATAAATCCAATAAGTTTGGCAACGTTGAATTTCCCTTTTTTAATATTTCCATTCGGCGATATAAAGGGCGTACCTAATATACCTCTCTCTTTTTAAACAGCTGTTTCTCACTCCATCTCACGTAAGGTCCATACCGACCATAAAATTTTTCCTACACTGTAATGTGATTTTACAAGCAGTATTCTCCAATAAGTTGGCAACTTAAATTCATGATCTGAAAAGATTCTTTCCTCCTATGAATGTTTTCACATTTTTAGATTTTTCTGTTCCTTATAATAAGGTATGAACGGACTTTTCAGTTCTGTGAAAGACATACTGATGAGGGATGTAATAGTTCTGTAGCAGAAAATAACCAGATGTCACAGCCCCTATCAGTCTGTTATGCAGCTGCGGAAAATTCATGGTTTTTATTATGTGTCATATTGGGTGACACGATACTCTAGTATTTATTATTAAAAAAAAATGTTGGTCTTGGTTAAATTTCGCAAATTATACATAAAAAATATTAAGGAGTAACAATGTCTAAGATACGAAATGAAGATAAGAAGTGAAATTTAGGTATTCACCGAGCACCGCACAGGAAACAATCGATAAAATTTGATGAGTTTCTTGCGGCAGATAGTCAAATGAATATAGCAGTATGTCAACACATCAGTGAACTAGACTATGACAGTGTCCAATCTAACTAGGATAAAATTCCAGTTTCGATTTTCGACAAATATCAGTAAAATACATGGATATCGGAGGGAGAGATGAAGAACGAAAATAGTGAAAGAAAAATAAGATAAAAGGAAAGGTGGAGAGACAATATGAAAAGAAAATATTTCGTACAAAAATCCAAATATTTTTTGAAAACGTCTTTATCTGCTATCGTAAAGGATTCATAACCCCTAAATTAGTATTGTCATTTCAAAATCCCTAACTTTTGTAATACGTGGCAACTCTGTTCTAAAACATCAAGTAACTGAAATAATAACAATGAAAAACAGTTAAATGTTCGTCCTTGAAATAAATATTTGCTCAAAAAACACAAACTCACCTTCGATTTCGAGGCGGCCAACTTCTGTTCCTCTTTGCGACAGTTTCTTTGGTACGACGTGATCACTCTCCTTAACCTTGTATTGAGATCAGTTATCGAAGGCCAATTTTTATCATCGCCTTCTTCTCCCACCCGATCCTCGCTATCAAGCGGTTGGGTTTCGGATGAAGCCGAAGGACCAGGAGATGGCTCCGCAATTTCAGAGTTAGCCTCCGAAGCGTCTCTGTTTTTTGATTTGAAGCTGGATTCTTCTGTAGTGTCGTCATCCTCGGCGTCATCTTCGTTGCTGGAGTAAAAAACAAGTTTTAGACGTTTCGTATCGGTAAGGAGTGGGTTTTTAAATCATTTTTGGAAAAGAAGGTACGTAACTACAATGATTTTAAAATAAGTTCTTATAAATATTACTCTTTTGATATCCGAACATGCGTTCGAAAGAATAGGTTCATAACTTTTTTTATATGTATAAAACCAGAAAATTATTAGTGTGCACAATCAATATTTGATCTCTAAGTGTTGATAAAGGATATTTTTTTCGCCTGCCTTTTTACCAAGCTTACAAGTTATAGCTGAAACCAGTCTACCAGTCCAGATACCACATTCTTATAATTTAAAAAAATTAATTCAACTATAAAATTAAACGTAAACTTTTGTCAACACATAGAGAGTTTTAACCTAAAAAAACTTATATTGGTGATAAAATTCGTGAAAAAATTAATCTTTCTAATAAAAATTGTAAGTCCATTGTTTTCAAAATATAGATATTTATTTGATGACATTCAAATATGTTTCGTTTTAATATATATATATATATATATATATATATATATATATATATATATATATATATATATATATATATATATATATATAAAAAAACAAATAAAAAATTATCACAATAGCGCAATTAATTTAGAATTTGCCCTAAGAGCAAATAAGTTTTAAGGATTTTTATCGTTCATTAATTGAACTATTAAGATAACAACACTAAGTGTATTACTGACCTTGAGAAAGCATATGACGGCTTGAGCACAAGAACTGTGATAAGTTTTTAAGTTTTAAAGTCATATTTTTAAATAATATGTCCCTTTTGAACATGAAGCCTATTTTATGTAACAAACTTTAAAATCACGTTAATTTGATCGATTACAACCTTCAGTTTTTTCCAAAATTGTTAATGCCTAAACAAAACTTACCTTTTCATCGAAAATCAGGATTAAAACGTATCATGCAGTATGGGACATTAGGAAAAGATATGTATATATTATATGGGGCAAGCTAACAATGGCATATGAAAAACTGAAAATAAGTTATAAAATGATTCTACACGATGATTCATCATGGAAAGTTGCTTTGAGAATTTTGGTCCAAATTTTTATTCAAATCTCATTTGAACAACAAAAATAAAATATAATAAAAAACAAATTTTACATAATAAAAATACACTAAAGTATATTCTCTTTCAGTCTTTCGTAACGGTGCAAACAATATATCACTAAGAATACGAAAAAAAAAAAGAAATATCGAATAAACCTAAAAAGTGACTAAGAAAATTATCTTATCGTCTATACGTTAAATGACGTATTATTACACAATCTCGGAATTCAATACAATCAGTGTTGCAAGAGCAGCATCAACTACATAATAGCTTATGAAATTGAGTAGAATCTTAGACTTGACCGAAGGAACAGCGAAGAAACTATAAGCGTTCTAGATTCGAACTTAAAAAAGGGATATACTATATATTTATATATATATATATATATATATATATATATATATATATATATATATATATATATATATATATAAAGGGAATAAAATTATATTTTCCGCACATAATTGTAAATGAAAGTAAATAAAGAGTTGCTGAAATGGAGTTGTGGGTATAAAACTTTCAAAGACGAAAATACAAAATAAATGAACTAGAAAACCGGCAGTTTTGGCTATACATTGACAGGCAAGAACTAAATTTATATATATATTATATACAGATTGAACAAATTTAAAACGGATCATACAATTTAATATATGTCTGTGTGAACTGCATTTGAAATAGTGGACCAATATAAAACTTGGACAAAAATAAATCCATACCTGGGGATAGACATTGTATAAAATATCGTTCAACTATCTGTCTCGCAACAATGTTGCCAATCGTCGTGTAATAATCCGATTTGCGAATCCTTTTGAGAGTTATATCCAATGACGTATAATATATAGACTACGCAGTCCCCTATTCTCGCTATAGAATCAAGTGTCCGAAAGATCTCGGCTCAAGTTGAAGGTATGTTTATCACAACAGCGGCGTGCTCATTTATATGTTAATGACAATAATTATTTTTTTAATTAAAATTAAATATTTATGATTTCTTTTTGTTCCCGTCTATAAGAGAAATAATTATTTTGATAAAATAGTATGGCATTTTACTAAAATAGTAAGTAAATAACTCTCAACAATTTAAAATAAAATTTGCTTGTCACACAAAATGGAGAAAATGTTTTCATACGTCCATGATGTTTTCAAACACAAGATCAACTTCGTGATGCTTCGTAAGAAATCATGAACTTCGTGCATCTTCGTATCAAAACAATAAACAATAACAAAGGTATTCATGTTTTGGACACTTTTTAAAGCGTTCACCGAGTCTATATATTATACGTCATTGGTTATATCGTCTTCGTATCTTTAAATAAATCGGATATTTGCCTATATTTTTCATTTTATTTACCAATCTACTACAACAGACTAATAACAAAAATAAACTTAATGGTTTGTAGTAATTTCCTTTCTTTCCTGTAAATATTTTATGGTTAACAACTTATTTGAGAAACATCTAGAGGAATGAAGTTGACAACACAGCTCAAAGAGGAGCTTGTCTAAGGAAGCGATAAGTGGTTTGACAGCATAATAAAATCGTAGATTTATGTGTAGCTTTCAATTTTTATACGTGATGGGCGGGGCAACCCATTTGGGTGGAGTTTTGACTTGTTCTTGAATTTCAGAATGCAGCAGCCCGCTGAAGTATTGGATTTTTATAATATAATTATTTGACAATCTTTTGTTGACCAACCACCTAGAACGAAATTGAGCCGAAATACATAATTTTCGTATATATATATATATATATATATATATATATATATATATATATATATATATATATATATACGGATATCTTGGGTCTTGTAGTCAATATTGGCCTTTAAGTAAAACTCTTTAAGGTTTGCTGAGCTTTCGAGTTTATTCAACTCTTTTTCAAAACATACTAAAAATTAACATAAAAAACTATATTAGAACAACGAAGTTGTTCTTCTTCTGAAGTTGTTGTATCTTCAACAGGCTTACCCTTGTGAGGATTGTATTGTAAAATTAGCAAAATTACGTAACATATTGACATTGATTAATTTGATTTTCTTTTTCGTTCTATCAAAACTTATTACTACGGTTTCCATATCTCTTATATTTTTTATATTTATTTTAGGTTAGTTTGACAGAGGAAGTGTCTATGTTTATGCAAACCTTGATTGCAAATTTTGATATATGTAAAAATGTTTCGTTTGAACTTATTAAATTTATTTTATATATATATATATATATATATATATATACAATAAACCAATAAGGAATCTCCTTTGTTAATACTCCACATAAGCTTCAAATTATATATTTTTTAAATTCTTGACTAGCCAAATTATGTTATGTGTCTTAATGTTTCTTATTTATAATTATGTGTTATATTGTTCTTCATTTCAACATGGCTTGCAACTATTTTAATCTGAACAATTATTGTGTTAATAAAGAAGCCAAACAGTTTCGAAAGGTCGGGCTCCGGCTTTGGTCCGAAGTATTTTGTAGCTGATGCTCTTCTGGCAAGTTCATCAGCTGTTTCATTGCCGTGTATTCCCTAGTGACCAGGGAGACAGTGACGGTGAGCAGTGTGGCACTGTTATGTTCCGCCAGCCCTCATGCTGATTTTTCTTGAACACTGTAAGATTGCAAAAATCTCTGCCTGAAATATGAAGGTATATTCTTCGAGTGAAATAGAAATGTTTAAATTTCCACCACCACTAAATATTCCTGCATTTGACCCTTCTGCAGTTTTAGACCCGCCTGTGTATAATTTACAATGTAGGTCAGAACCAAGTCTTAACCCCTGCTCCATCCTTCTCGTGGAAAAATAGCTAGTTTAGGCCTGTATATGGTCAGAAATCATCATCCATCTGGTATTCCTGATTTCATATCTATATCTCATTCTCGCCTCCTCCTTATAACTATGTATAAAGAAGGGAGGTACATTAGGGCCTTCATAGCTGCCGTTGGTGTGCCCCTCGTAATTCCTGCGATTCCACAGCAAGCAAGTCTGCCCATCACTTTGATGCTAATGTAATTATTGGTTTTATACTAATGGTAGCCAGACACACTGATGGACAAATGTGGGGTTTAAAACCAGACATGTTTTACTGAATTTATACCATATCTGGTTTTAAACCCCACATTTATCCATCAGTGTGTCTTTCTGCCACTACTGAATCGTCCTCTTGGTTATTTGTTCTATTTACTGATTCCAAGTAAGCCTCGAATTTAATATTATCCCAAGATACTTTACATCACTCACCAGATTTAAATGTGTACTATTGAAGCTTAGTCCATTTTGTAACTAGTGTGAGCCTATTGCATTATATTTGACTTTACCATTAAATTTGCTGTAGGCTAGATGACCAGGTCATCCGCATAACCCAGGAGAAGAGAGGACTTCCCCTGTGGACAGTCTCTGGCTACTTGTGCTGACACTGTATCTCTCAATAACGAATATTAAGTATTTTAATCAGTATGCGTATATTATATGGCTCCTTTGCGTGTAGCTTGTTTCGACTATTCCTTTTAGACGAATCGCCATTGTGATTGCTTCTTTTTAATGTTATTTACTGTTGACTGTATTATGGGTCTTAATTGACATTTGTTATTACACCAATTACACACTTACATTTATTTTTCGAGTTAACATAAAGCGACAAATTAAACTAATTAGCAAATAATATAATACTTCCTCCTCTTTATAAACAATTATTCTTGTTCATTGGCGGAATAATACCTTCTATTTAGTGTCCATTCGTTTATACACCGTAAGTTACATTTTCTTCTAATGTCTTCACTTCTCTTTCGATCTCTTATTTCGTATTTCCTGTAATTCTTCTCAGTAATCTCAACTCTGCCGTTTCCAGTAGCCTTTGTATTATGGCTGTGTCGGGTCTATTTTCTTAGGCAAAGTCATTATTGGTCTTACA